AAAGTTGAGTTCTAGTGACTGGAAAGAGGAGCACAGCAGGGCCTTCCAGCAGCTAAAAGCCGCTCTGATTAATTCCGTGGTTCTGACACACCCAGATTTTAGTCGCCCGTTTATTTTGTCCACTGACGCGTCCATGGATGGGCTGGGCGCTGTGTTGTCGCAGATCGCAGAGGGTGAGACTAGGGCTCGGCCAATTGCTTTCGCTAGCAAAGCCCTTTCGCGTGCTCAGGCAAGGTATCCTGCTCACCGCTTAGAGTTTTTGGCTTTGAAATGGTCTGTCTGTGACAAATTCAGCCATTGGCTGAAAGGGCATGAATTTGTTGTTTGGACAGACAACAATCCATTGACTTACATCCTCACAAAGCCTAAACTCGACGCGTGTGAGCAGAGATGGGTTTCCAAGTTGGCACCTTATCATTTCAGCATTAAGTACATACCTGGCAGCAAGAACGTAGTGGCCGATGCTTTGAGTCGTCAACCATTTGTCCATAACCGGGTCAGTCAGAGGCTGTTGAATGAGCCTTATGGTGCATTGCTTGAGGAAGCGGAGCAGTTTGAGAAAGACAAAGTACAGGATGCATTCAGGCTTAGTGCTGGTGCCCAGAGCGTCGAAGGTCCCCCTTGTGTAACTTCTTGGTGTTGTCCTCTCTCCAGTGCTGAGGTTACCGCAGTATTAGAGGGTCACAGTGACTGGGCAGCAGGAGTCGAATCGAGGGCAATTTCCTGGATCGCTCAAGGCGCTCAGCAGCTGTCTCCTCCTGGGCAATGCCCGTTACCAGTCTTCTCGTTAGATGAACTTCGAGACCGACAACAGAATGATCCTTGTCTGTCCAGGGTCCTGTTTTACGTCAATAGGGGCAAGAGGGCCTCACGTCGTGAGCGTTCTGGAGAGGCGTATAAGGTGCTCAGAGTCTTAAAGCAATGGGACAAGTTGAATGTGCTTGATGGCGTACTGTATCGCGTAAGTAAAGACAACCTTGCAGGAAAGAAACGGTTACAGTTCGTTGTTCCGTCCTCTTTAATTACGCAGGTGATGACAGGCGTCCACGATGAAGCAGGGCACCAGGGCCAAGGTAGAACTATGCACCTGGCAAGACAAAGGTTTTTTTGGGTTGGGTTGGAACGCGACGTTCGTAGGTATGTTAAGTGTTGCAAGCGCTGTGTTGTCAGTAAGACACTCGAACCTGAAGGTAGAGCCCCGTTAGAGAGCGTTAAAACGTCAAGCCCAATGGAGCTAGTATGTATCGATTTTTGGACCGCGGAAAGCTCCAAAGGCCGTAATGTGGACGTGTTGGTCGTAACTGATCATTTTTCCCGTATGGCACATGCCTTTCCATGTCGTGATCAGTCAGCAAAGCAGGTAGCCCGTCAGTTGTGGGACCGATATTTTTGTGTGTACGGCTTCCCTGACAGGATCCACTCGGATCAGGGGGCCAACTTTGAGAGCCAACTGATCCGAGAATTGCTGCAGGTTGCCGGAGTGAAAAAGTCAAGAACAACTGCTTACCATCCGATGGGCAATGGCGTCGTTGAACGGTTCAATAGAACTTTGGGTAACATGGTCAGAGCACTGCCGCCGAGGTCTAAAGAAAAGTGGTCACAGTTGCTTCAGACACTAACGTTCGCATACAATTGTACAGCGCACGAGTCCACTGGCTACGCTCCATTCTATTTAATGTTTGGTAGGATCCCGAAGCTACCCGTGGATGTGATGTTTAGCAATGTTGACAGAGACTGTGATGTTGTTGATTACGATAAGTATGTGAAAAGGTTGCAAGACAATTTGAAAGAGGCTATGACCGTCGCTCAGGGGAACATTGATGCCAGTCAGCAGCGTCAGGCTGAGTTGTACAACCGGAAGACGAAGGGCTGTAACATTGAGTTGGGTGATCAAGTTCTCCTGGCCAACAAAGGTGAACGTGGGAAAAGAAAATTAGCAGACAGGTGGGAGTCCACACCCTATAGGGTAGTAGCGCTGAACCCCCAGTGCCACATTTATCGCATTCGTAACACCAAAACGGGCCAGGAGAAAACTGTTCATCGTAATTTGCTGTTGCAAGCCAACTTCTTGCCGCTCGAGTTGGGAGGTCCTGAATCACCTGGGGATAGTGGTGAATCTGTCCTTGGAAGCAGGAGTGCATCCTTGGATAATGTTAGTTCTGCAGCTGAGATGTGTTCTGTCCCTGACCGAGTTGCCAGTTGGGTGGAAAGAACCACAATTTCTGAAGATCCTCAGCAGAGATTGTCCTACAGATCTGATAGTGCTGGTTCATTGGATGTAGTCCCCGAGTCATTGGTTCAGGAGCAATTGTCGTCAAAAGATGATTATACCAAAGGAAACAGCAATGTAGTCATTCCAGATGAAGGACTGAGTAGTGATTCTTGCAGTTCGCTTTCTGAGGCAGTTCTCCATGATGACCGTTGCGTTTCACCTGCTAGAGTTGTTGAGCCACTTCCTAGTCAAGGAGAAGCGATAGTTCGAACCAGAGTGGGTAGGATGGTGAGACCTGTCAACAGGTTGATAGAGAATATGGCTCAATCTATCAGAACACTGAATCCAGTTGGTGGGGTTGTAAGATCTTTATTGAAATAAGAATGTATTGTATTAAACCATTACATTGTAATACAATATTGTTTTCTTTAAGTTTTAAGGTTAAGTCTCTGTGAGTCAGTGCATTTCAGCACATTTGTTGTTCCAGATCCAAGATTAAGTTGAGATGAATGGTGTTTAAGGCACCTTTTGCGGGTGATTGCAGTGGGCCTGATCAACCTTATGTACACACCTTCCCTGCGAGTGGGAAACATTTTGTTGCACCATGTTCTGGAAAACAGTTGGTCTAAATAGCTCCAGTGTATACAATCCCTGTATAAGACAAAATTTGTGAAGTTCAGGGTGGAGAATGTAACTGGTGAAAATTAACCTTTGACTTGTTTTTTATTGTATTATTTTTTTTCTGTATTTTACTGTTTAAGTTTTCCTATTTTTGTATTTAGAATGGCTTAATGAACCTCACAAAATTTTGTTCACATTATTGTTCATGAGTAAGAGAACATAACGTTAAAATAGCGGAACTTTTCCCTGAGTGTTTGTTTGGGGAGGGAGCGTCATCGGTGGAACACTTCCGGGGTTTCTCCTCGTGCGGTCTGTAATAGCCTCAGTCTACCTGAGTGAGAGGCTCGTGAGCGCACGCAATGTTGCTTCTCTCCATGAATGTTACTGGTATGATGATGTTTATTGTCTGAAGGCATAATTATTGCTCAATAATTGTGATTTGAGTGTGCTTAATCATTTGAGTGTGTTACTCGTGATGAATGTGTGTAGTAGTACGAGTTTATACAACTCATTATGGTGCTAACTGATTAGTATCTTATGCACAGAGTGTTACACGAGAGAGAGAGAAGCTGAAGCCCCGTTGATCCACTGATGATCTCTCTGTTTACAGGTGTGTTGTTTAATTAGTTCTGTTTTGTGAAAGGAAAGAGATCTGGTTGACTGTTAATAAATATGTACTGTATTAAGAGTGTTATCGGGGAATCGAATCAGATTCGTGCGTGACGCACGTGGTGCGGCCTGCATATGGTATGCTGCTAAATGTGCATTGAGCTTTTCTTTTGGATTTATGTTTACAAATTATATTATAATTTATTGATTGTTTTTCATAGCATGTTATTTTATATAAATATCTGAATTAATGCATATAAATACTTGAATTAATGCTTATGGTCATGTAATTTAGTATAAAATTGATGTACTATACATTATTGTAGTGTATTAATAAGAGTACTAATGTGATATGTCACAAGGAGGATTATGAATGCGTAACATTTATTATTTTATTTACATGTTTTATTTATTTATTTTTCTTAAAAGGTCTGTAATAGCCTCAGTCTACCTGAGTGAGAGGCTCGTGAGCGCACGCAATGTTGCTTCTCTCCATGAATGTTACTGAGTGTTACACGAGAGAGAGAGAAGCTGAAGCCCCGTTGATCCACTGATGATCTCTCTGTTTACAGATTAAAAAGGAAAAACATTGGATCTCATCGCTGTGTGGTCGTGTGGTCATTTGGGTTAAAGAGTCCGTTCCAGACATGCTACACTGAGCACTGTTTGGCACTTTTCTGGTCAAACTTTTTACCAAATTACCAAAAAATGCAGTTTTGAAGAACCATGTATAAACACATTATTTCTTTCAGTCATTTAAAGGGATAGTTCACCCAAAAATGAAAATGTTGTCATCATTTACTTTCCCTTAAGTTTTTCCAAACCTGTATGAGTGTATTTCTGCAGTTGAACACAAAAATATTTGAAAGTATGATGATATTCATACAGGTGGCTTCCATAGTAGTAAAAAACAAACAAACTGATTTGTAGTTTTAATAACAAAGTCATTTTTAACTGGAAGTGCTTGATGTGTGATTACCTCTATTATACTCTTCCGGCAACTCTATCACAATAAGCTAAATGTCTCTGGTTATTCTAGAAAAGCACAAAGTATCCTTTGTTCTATCACGAAGTTGAGAATAAACCAAGACTTTGTTTCTACGTTTTCTGATAAATAAAGCAGTCCTCTAGGTCAAGGATATAAATAAAAAGGTCATTTAAAAAAATAAAATAAATAAAGGTACTTTTCTTTTACAGAATAGTTGTTATTTTTATAGTTGTGCAGTGTATCACTTGACGTTGACTAAATTAGAAATAGTTATGAGATGCAGTATCATAGTTTGTATGTTGTGAAAAACACTTAAAACGTTCATTTCATTCGTAAAATTATGAAAAGAGAAGTGAGTCCGACTGAGGTGCTAATATATCAGTCGGTTCACCTTCTTCACTCGGCACATATCAGTATTTTGTGCAAATGGTATTGTCATGAATAAAAGCAATTACCGGCATTGTTCTGTATCGTTTTCCCAGCAGTTATATGCCTTTTTGTTTAGTACACTTCTTTCTTAAATGGGACACTTTTACATAGTTCGTTTAAATAATTATTTGATTCATTTGGCACACCGGTCCATTGATAATTGATGTTATTGGTCAAACCACAAAGTATGTATTCAGAGCTGCTGGGATGTTGTGTTTGTTATAGCCTTATTTGCAATGTACCACAGAAAAATAATGGCTGAAGTGAATGGCCTTCCTAGTTTTATCAACTACTTCACCGTTATCAATCTGTTTTATTTTTTAGAAGAATTATCAGTGCTTTCTTTGCTACTCTCTTTGATGTTGAACGTGTGATAGGAATGTCATGTTCATGCTACATTTTATTTTCATCATGAAACAATTGCCTTATATAACTTCAGTGTTATTTATATAATTTATATATGTTCAGTGTCATGATCAGAAATCTGTTATCTTTTACTACAGCTGTTCTTGTCTTCTGAATAAAAAACGGTACTTACAAAACTAGTGAGGGAGGCTTGTTCAAGTTTTGATCATGTTCGCAGCATTTGAACACAACACCACAGATTATCAATGTTAAAAGTGTATTTAGATTCAACAAACATTACTATGATGGATAATAATTTTCCAGACATCAGTGCAGGACATGCTAAAAAACAAAATGACATTAGCCTCCACGATTTGCTCCCCCTTTCACCCAAACATGAATTTTAAAATAAATTGTGACATCACATCCATTACAATATGTACAAACAAGTTGCTGAGCTCAAAAAAAGCCATTTAATCATCACTATATAGGTGTTGTGATTGAGAGTATGGACAAAGTGAAAGTTTCTGTTGAGTGGAACAATTAAAACGATCTTTGTACAAACACCGGCGTGTGGTTAGGGTTTTTATTACTGAGTTCCTAGATCTGACAAAAGGAAATAAAGGTTTCGAAAGGTTGACAATATTTCCTTCCTTGCACTGTTAACAATACTGAGGTGGAAAAAAAACAGGAGGCATTATGGCTAGTTACCAAGCAAATGACCAAAAACATCTGCCTCATCAAGGCCATTTCATGTGCTTTGTTTCACAAAATCGTCATCGAGTTTCCCTCTTCACGCGCCAATGTCGGAGTGGCTCGTGCTGGTGTTGCTGAGCTTCCGCTCTTTCACCGTGGCCGTCCCTGTGTTGTCGGCTACCGCATTGGCTGGCGTGCTGGCCGGCGGTGAAGAGATGCGGCTGATCACTGTATTTATTAGATTGTTGCGGAAGCTCTTGCTGAGAAAGTTGTAGAGGATTGGGTTGGCGATGCAGTGAAATAGCGACAAGCATTGCACAAGGCTAAACGAGAAGTAGAGCACGCCGACCGTGTTGCAGGAGAACAGGTGCGGATCCAGGTCGTCGATTGTCAACAAGAACAACACCAAATGGTACGGTAGCCAGCAGGCCATATAGACCAGCGAGTACACATGCACCAACCACACGTCCCCGCGATTCTGGATGTCCGGGGACGAGCGGATGGCTCGGGCGATCAAGATGTTGCAGGTCACGATGACGGATGCCGGGCCCAGGAACTGGAATATCAGGCAAAGGAAGGAAACTGAGACGAACCACTCCGTGTAGTACTGCTCAGGAACCATATAGCAGCCCGGTTCATCCCACTCCAGCAGGTCAACGTGGACGTTCTCCAGCAAGGTCAGCACAAGCGACAAGAGCCAGATCCCGGCGCAGAGAAACCAGCGGCGTTTTTGGTTTGGGGGAAAGCAGGCGGGCGAGTTAGGACGTGCCAGGGACAGGTATCTCTCAAGGGTCATGAAGGCCAGGAAAAGGGAGCTGCTGTAGAAATTAATGACGTACACGAGGTGCGTGACCTTGCACAGGAAGCGGCCCCACAGCCAAACCTTGTTCATGGTCACCTCCAGCATGAAGAAGGGCATGGTGAAGATCACCATTAAGTCGGACAAGCTCACGTTGATGATGCAGAACAGCACGCCATTCGCCGAATGCCGCCTACGCCAGTTCACCCACACCACCACAGTGTTCTCGGCCAACCCTACCATGAACAGCATCAGGTAAAGGAGGAAAAGCGCGATCCGTCGGCCATCCTCGTCTAGGTGGATGGTGCACTCGTGGACGAACCAGAGCGTGCCGTTGTAGAAGTCGTATGACGAGTTGTGTGGATCGAAGCTCATGTTCTGCAGACAGAAACAGACAGTTGTTCACTTGACCTATTGTACGGGTAAAAATTACTACGCTGGGAAAGGGCAAGAGGGACTGATTTTAGTGGAAAATTGTCACACAATAGTCTAAAAGCAACTTTGGCCCACAAGATATGCGGTCCTGCAGAGTTTAGCTCTGAACATTGTCGATTTTTCCCTTAAAGGGATAGTTCACTTTGAAATTCATTTTTGATATGTTTTAGCTTACCTCAAGGGCATCCAAGATGTAGATGTCCACAGCATTTTCAATTTTGACATTTTTTGGTCAAACTGTTGTTGTCCGTCAGTCCTATAATGCAGTTTTAGGGGGTCCACGTCAAAAAGCATGCACAGAGAAGTCCAAATTAAACATGATTTAATGACTCGTGAATGTAAGTACACATTGATGGCCTAAGACACGAAACGAGCGGTTTGTGTGAGAAAACGAACAGTATTTATATCGTTTTTACCTCTTGTTAACAGCCGTCAAACTGATCTGAATCAGATGTCCAACTGAACCGTCTCCAGACGTTATGCAGGAAGTGATCTCTCGCGCGTTGTCACTACGTCACGCATTGTTTACACGGAGATTTCGGAAGATTTACCTTTCACTAAACATATTTAGATATACGGGAAAATATATTTAGTGAAAGGTAAAACTTCCAAAATCTCTGTGTAAACAATGCGTGACGTAGACGCGCGAGAGATCACTTCCCGCGTAACGTCTGGAGACGGTTCAGTTGGACATCTGATTCAGATCAGTTGGACATCTGATTCAGATCAGTTTGACGGCTGTTAACAAGAGGTAAAAACTATATAAATACTGTTCGTTTTCTTACACAAACCGCTCGTTTCGTGTCTTAGGCCATCAGTGTGTACTTACATTCACCAGTCATTAAATCATGTTTAATTTTGACTTCTCTGTGCATGCTCTTTGAGGTGGACCCCCTTAGCCTCCAGTGTATGACTGATAGACAACAACGGTTTGACCAAAAAATGTCAAAATTGAAAATGCTGTGGAAAAAAAGACACCTACATCTTGGATGCCCTTGATGTAAGCTAAAACATATCAAAAATTAATTTCAAAGTGAACCATCCCTTTAACCTAACTACGTACCTAAGTCTACCTGGGTCGCCTCCACTCGACGGTCCCTGGGTTGTCTTCAGTCGACTTTAACTCTAACTCTCTAGTTAGTTCCCTAACTCAGAAATGTCTTTAAATGTTTTAATCACGGCCGGGAGATCTTCCCGAGCAGTTCTCAGAGAATCTTCCCCTTGAAGCAAGGCCGGAGGATCTCTCCGAAATTTCTGAGAATCCCAGCACGAATACAACGGTTTTATAGAATAGAGACAGACACAATAAATAAGATCATCATGACTAACATGTTGTCACCTTCTATCAATATGATTGGTTTAATTTGTAACGCAAGCCCCCACCTTTTTTACCTGTTACTGGCATAAGCAAAACTATCTCGAATCATTAAAAAGAAGTGGAAAGCTGTAAGAGTTCAGTTGATTAATCAGTATATCATGACACAATAAAGACAGTATATTTGTGATGTGTCATGATTAGCACTTTAGAATGTTCCATTACACAAATAGAATAAACAGAACGTTTCGTACATTGTTTATCATAGTGATAGAATGTTTAGGTGTTCAAACTCAAGTTTAGATGTTAGAATCATAGTAAATTTATTTTAAGTAATTTTCAAGCAATCCTAAATACTCTGGCTAGATTTTTGGTTTGGAGCTAAAAACCTAAATTGGACCTCGAGTTGTCTGGAGAATTGTGTCTCAGATATTTTTTTTCCCGAAAATCTGTCCCTTTTGCCCTTTCCCAGCTCAGCGAGTTTTTTTTAACGAGTTTGGACCTCAAGGCCCAGAGTTGCCCACCCCTGTTCTAAAAGTATTTTGGCACCAAATGTGTCCAAGATTACTTAAGTTTTTGTTCCCCAATTAGAACATTAAAGCCAACCTATCCCGAGCGACTACATCGGGGATTAATGCTAAACAAATTATTATAGTTTCCTAAATGACAGGCCTAGGTGACCTACCTTGCTGTGTAGTTGCTGCTGATGAGGCTCTCAGGTTAGAAGCGGTCTTGGAGAAATATCACTGGAGGCTTTGCTTGACTGGAATGTTGTGTGGGATGTAGCCATACATTGCCTTGTGGGGCAAAATAAGCTCTTCCCTCTCCCTCTCCCGCACCTGGTTGCTCCACCGTCACACTGACAGGACATCCTCACAGGACGGGAGGGGGTTGAATCTGACACGATGGACTCAGAGAATCTCTTGATAGCCGATAGTATCATCCACATAACCGGATAGAATGTTTGTTTTTCTGCGAGTATTGGTCAAAACAACCAGTGGAGCCAAGATGGAATTAAAGTGGTTGCAGGAGGGAGTGGCGCAACAATAAAATAAGGATTATGCACAAGCCCCAGGGTGTACCCTAAGCACATCAAATCTGTACTAATGAGCAGGCACATGATACCCGTATTGGTAGCTAAACACATTATGAATTCTGCCGCTAATGTGTTTGGAGCGAGAGTCACTGTTTTAAACAATTGCAGTACATCTCTTTCTCAATAACCAAAATTTTGCACATTTCATTAAGTAGTATTTTTTTACAAAGTGGATACTGTATTTATTTGAAATAAGCTTTCACATGCTAATTAGCATATCAGTGAGATCTACATGAAATTTAGCAATTAGCAATAATTTTTTTGAACATAATTTTGGAACATAATTAACAACCCTTGATAAGTTGCATGATTTTTGTAGCAGAAATCGGTTGTTCCGAGTGTCTAAATGAGCTCGGTCCAATTTTATTAACAGAAAAGTGCTTTTTATGATTATGAATTTAGGTGCTTGCTGCAGGGTGTTTCTACACAAATTAATTAAATCCAAAGAAATGTACTGTGTGTCCAATTGCTGCACGCCACAGTTCAACTGTGAATTATTTAGATGTGCGTGGATTGACTACTTTGTTCTTATCTGAACACCAGTTAAATCTGTTGGGGCCTCTGGGAGATTTCCAGATTATCTTTTCACAGTTCTGAAAGTCTAAAAGGAAAAATAAATATTAGCTGGTTAGTGCCTGATATGCTGAATAAACACAGCCCCCAGCAGGACAATAGCAGGAAATGCTTTGGTGGTCGAGGGGCAGTAAGTGGCAGGCAGAGCAAGAGAGAGAGAGTTAGGAAGCCGGCCGTACATCAAACCCCCTCACAACACCCCCGGCGTCCCACACTGACCATTTCAGCAACTGCTACTGAGGCTGAGAACACTACAAAATGATCACTTATCTAATCTGACTTAAAAGGAGCTCAACCAAAAATGAAAATCTTGTCATTTACTCAACCAATGTTGTTCCAAACATGTTAAACACAAAATATTTTTTTTTAAAGTAAAGTTGGGAACCAGACAGTTGACTTCCATAGTATTTTTTTTCCCTTACTATGGAAGTCAATGGCTACCAACAACTGATTGATTACTCACATTCTTTACTTCATCATCTTTTGTGTTCAACAGAAGAAAGAAACTCATACAGGTTTGGAACAACTTGAGGGTGAGTAAATGAAGACAGATTTTTTATTTTTGGGTGAACTGTCCCTTAAAAGACACCCATTTCTGCCTAACAGTGTATGACTTCAAAGAACTGTTTGAAATGTTGAGTTTTAGACATTTCTGTTTAAACAGTAGTTTGAAAATGATCATTTATAGAAAGTCCATGCTCTTCAATTTAAGCTATCCCCCTGTATGCGTGCATGTCTACGCCGTTAAATGTCCGAGTGATTCCGCGTGTATGTTCATGCCGTTTAAATGTCCGAGCGAAACGAAGCAAAATGTAGATCTACATCTGGCAATATTTTTTTTCCTAGGATGATAGGGGAAGACTCATAAATGGTATTAACCCCAGTGACGGGTAGGTTTAGGGACGGGGTCGGGGTAGGTCATATATTTATATATACAGTAACGTAACATTAAGCCAACGGCGTTCATAAACACGCTGAAAAGCGATTATGCGTGTTGATAGCACGCCAAAAAAGAAAAAAAAAAAGAAAAATTGAAATATATCTATGCGGTCAAAATTTCAACTGGCTCCAAATGAGGCCTATTAGTGCTTTTCATACTTAAATATGAACCCTCAGTTTTACTTGTATATTTACTTTATGATTGCCTTTTACAGGGCTTTATCCTAAATCTGTATGAGCTTCTTTCTTATGCAGAACACAAAAGAAGATATTTTGAAGAATGTTGGTAACCAAACAGACGGTAGCCATTGACTTCCATTGTATGCAAAAAGTAAAAATAAAAAAATATTATTAAAGTCACTGTCTACCGTCTGTCTGGTTACCAACGTTCTTCAAAATATCTTCTTTTGTGTTCAACAGAACAAAGAAATTCATAAAGGTTTATAATAACATGAGGGTGAGTAAATGACAAAATTTTATTTTTTGGGAGAACTATTCTTTTAAACGAGGGTTAAAAATTGTGCTCAACCCAGCACAGTATGAAAATCCTTAAGGAGAATAATGTGACGCTCTGAACTCCGTGTTCCAGCGACTCCTACGATCACAAGAATCCGTCAGCAGTTTGTTAGACGATTGGCTTTCCCCCCTGCATGCTCCCCATTGTTTAGAGTACATATTTTTGTCAGTGAGACAGGAAAGAATTTGTCAGCAAAATCTCAGCTCCTGGAAAGGCCTAGGTGGATCCTGTCCTTGACCCCTCTTCATGCGGGTCCAGACATCACGGAGGCCCCGGTTAAACTACGACCTGATTTTAGTTATTATTTTTACCTTTATATATAAATAAACTACTTTTATATATACATTTATTTTTATATATAAATAAATCAGAAAGAGTAAATACTTCCATTTGTTATATACTATAATTTCAAAATGTAGAAAATAGAAATAACTAATGAATAGGCAGTCTAAATGGTTGACTAAAACCGTACACAACAAATTTAGTATTTCTGTTTCATCCAATATATAGCAAAAAAAAAAGTTTTATTGTACTTAAGAATGCACATTTTACAGTCGTTACGTGCATTATGTGAGCACTATGTAACATCATTTTAAGGTGTTAAAACAGCTCTAAAAATCCAGTTTAAATTACAACTGTTATGGATATAATTGTGCCATACAAACCTAAAATGAATAAATAACAGAAACCATGTTTTTGGAAATCTCTGAAAAATATATTTGGTCCAAACACTGATTTGCAAAATAAATAAAATGCAACAATAAGGCATTTTTTTTATACTAAATCAGCTCTGTGTTGCTAAAGTATTTCTACAAACTACAAAATTCCTCTTTTCAGCATTAAGGCTAACTGCATAAAATAGCTCAAATAATAGTGTGTGCTCCATCCGTTCATACAAACAGTCAGTATTCAATTCATAATATTACTTTAATCTAGACCCTTGCTGTACACTTAGGGTCCTCAGCTGGTCTTTTTTATTTCTTTCTTTATTTTTATTTTACAAAGTATCTTGTTTCCCTCCTCACAACATTCTAGTGCTGCATATCAAGTGAAGCTAGCATGCACTTAAAGCATCAGACAACATGAGTTTCTGCTACTCCTCCAGAATCGGATCAGCAAATGGTTAAGGCGGTGGATTCTCTCTCTGCCAATCCAAAGTCCAAAGAGAGAGAGAGAGAGAGCACACCAAGAACAAGTTATGTCACTGCTACAGGTTTGGAGTCATATCTCCTTAAAAGATCAGGCAATATTCCCATGTTTGTGGGTTGTGTCACATGGGTTGTGATTCGTGTGAATCTAGTTCTATTCATTTGTGAAGATGCACTTGATGAAAGTCGATGTAGTGTGGATGAGAATGTGAAGTTCCCGTCAACATGTCATGCTTAAATATCGTGTTATGAAACTATGAAGCACAGCCAACAGGCGCTAAAAGATATCAACTAATCAATATGACGACGGTAGATAGAAACTGCAGAAACGCGTGAATCTGACAAAGCCTGTGAAGAACATGTCCGGTGCATATTTCATCCTAAAATTCAAAAGAAAGAAAATGAGATATTATATTTTGCTTAAAAATGAAGCCTGTTTCATTTATTTTTTTTGTATTCACAAATTATTTTCATTACAATTAAGCACATTTCCCCTCCAACTTCTCAATATAATTAAAAAAAATAAATAAATTGTATATCTAAATAAATAAAATTATTATTTGCACTGTATGACTGTAATGTGTATGTGTATTATTTATATATATATATATATATATATATATATATATATATATATATAACAGTATTTTAAAAAAAAAGAAAAAGAAAAAAAGAAATCTGCTCATAATGACAATTTTGGGGAGGGGGGGGCAAATGTGATTTATTGTCATAAAAATAATCTCCCAATGAAATATAACTCGATGGATCTAAAAAATAGGCCTAATTTCAGCAATGCAAAATATAATTCCATTTTTTTCTTCGGGATTTTGGTATAAAATGTGACCTTGTGATAAGTGTGGATAAGGACACCCTGAAGTGGTTACGCAAAAATGTTGGAGATGAATTCCCGGAATCGTTTGGCATACTGCTCTGGGTGAACCGTAGATATTTCAGCACCAGCCTGAAAGGAAGGAAAAGAATGAGTCATGTTATTATAACCTCCCATATCTCAGAATTATATTGGACGAGTCCGCATTAAAAGTGTTTTTCCACTTACGCCATGTTTAACAGTCTTTGCCGCATGGGCAGCTTTCTTCTTAGTGTCGTACTGAGTCAACACGTCAATGAGGCCCATGAAATACACCTCCCTGTGTGGCGCTCCTGGAATCCAACACAAGCACACATGTAACATCCTTTCCCATTTCCCTCTTTCATACGTGCTTGACACAGGATGGGTTTCAGAGGGTTTCACAGGCCAGAACTTACCTGTTGCGCTTTTCACAGCGTATACATCAACGTAAGGGTCAAATTCTCCAGGGCCCAGGGGTTTGAAGGAGTTCATGTAACCGGCGATGCCCTCTGGCGACGTGCCGTAAGAGCCGACCTGTGCAGCCGGAGCGAGGCCGTTCTCGGGATCAGCATCATCTTCACAGCAGGGCTCCTCGGCATCCTCATCGTCCCGCTCGCCACGGGCCACGTCGTGGATGCCCAGCAACAGGCTGTAGTCCATTATCTTCAGCTTCACCAAGAACTATCATCATAGAAAGATTCATGGCAATATCAATATCACCATTTCATAACCTCTTGCGGTTCATCGTGCAGTTGGTATCTTGGTTTGGTAACACTTTAGTTTAGAGTACAATTCTCACGATAAACCAGTTGCTTACTTAATATTAAAACATAATATTAATGCCTTATTCTGCAAGATCATATTCTACATCCCTTAATCCCACCAATACCTAAATATAACAACTTAATAAGCAATAAATAGTTATTTAATGGTGAGAATTGGACCCTAATCTAAAGTGGTTTTACATGAACATCAATTGTAATGAAACCATTTTTTGGGTTCATTAAAAGTCAAAATTTTCATTGTGCATTTCTTTACCTCTACATCTCGGTTTAGCTTCTCCATAATCTTCTCTTTCTGTTCCTCTGTCACGTACACCTTCTGCATGTTATTTCTGAAATCCACATCTTTAAAAGTGGGCAGCTCTTTTACCTGCATTAGAAGAAGCAAGAATGTCAAGACCGAAAACTTTGTGTCTGATGTTGTATCAGGTAACTTTAACTGGACTGATGTCCTACCTTTTCTTTGTCACTAGCCTCACGATCTACCAGGGATCCCTGAAGAACACACAAAGTAAGACACGTCAAGACAGTGTGTCAAGACTGTCCTGTCACACTAACTATATATATATATATATATATATATATATATATATAGTTAGTGTGTATTTTTTTTGTTGAATTTCCTCCACAGGAATGCACTGTTTCAATTTATAGCTTTGACAGTGAAACCCAGCACTCAGTTTCTCAAAAACAGGTACATCTGAGATACTATTTATGAACTAATCATCAATCATGTCCACCTAAATGTCTTAAACCAGGTCTAAGGGGATGGGACGCATGATTTAAGTGCTGTTTTCTTATTGCTCGAAAAGTTAATGATGTGCAACGATAAATATCAGTCATGCTATGTCCCACAGCACCAGCCAGAAACATCCCGATGAATCAGCAACATCTCAGCTGCGAGAATCTACCTTCAGATCGTATTTCCTGTGGACAACGAGTCTGTGGCTGAACATGTTCCTCATGACGATCAGGTACGTGTCCTCACTCTCCACCGTAACGCGGTACATGCCCAGAAACTGAGGGAGAAGTGTACTGCCATGACACTTCACTATATGCTGTGAGAAACAACACAAAGAATTACATTTCGTGAGCTTTAGCCATAAAGTGTACGGTTAAAATGTTCATGCAATGGCACATAGTTCATAAACAATGAACTTTGGGTAGCATATGGTTTCCAGTACTAAAACAAGCCCACAGGCATCATACATTAGTGTTTTTCTGTCTGCATCACTGACCAACTAGACTAACTTGACTAAAGCTGCACGTAATATGAAGGAAAAAGCATGTCAATAACACTTAAAAAGCAAATATAAGCTTATAATTTAATAGCAATTTTGTTGAAACTGATTCCTGGATGAGTATGCAGTGCACCCTCAGGACATGTCGTGAATATAAAGGCAGCGCAAATGTAAAAGCAGTCTAGATTAAAATCTACTCATTCAGCTACAATGGAAACTGTTAAACAAGTTCACACGCACACTTTTCTCATGGCTGTCACGGCACTGTAAACAAGCCAGAAGCAAACACACGCTAAACTAACCTATAATTTACATGAACGGCCACGTTGAGGATGATTGACGTCTTAAAGAGCTCTTAAAACTTTTTTTAAAAAAATAATGTCCCCTTATTTTTATCTTTAAGACAATTCATGACAAACACACGTAATTATACAATGATAACCCAGAACTTTATCATGATGCCATTTGCATGCAAATATGCGTCCTTTAAACACACCGCTGTATCCACTATAAACATAACATACGGCACCTACACATTTAAATCAGCACCCAGAACAACAAAGCTCATTGTCAATCATAAAAAGAGAAATTTACCTATTTCAAGGAAGTGCGATGGAACATGAAAATGATTTCAGTGACTGAACAAGTTTGGATGACAATGTAAAGAGGAAATGAACGACAGGGCGTGTGGATCCCAACTGGGAAAAACAAAACATAAAAATAGCTGGAGTCTGAATTCTTTGATGGATTATTTCTCCAACACAAGCAAAATTGTGTAATACGTAAACTGCACTGCCTGGCCAAAAAAAAAAAAAAAAAGTCACTGTTTGGATTGAAATAAGCACACGCTTAAGTCATTAATATTGCAGTGATAATTATGTTTCTAGCATGCTATATGTTTGGCAACACTTTTTCTAACCCTATTTGATGGAGTGTGTAGCTTTTCATTTCGTAGACAACCATGTAGGAAGACACATCATGGCCATATTCCAGGTTGACAATGTCAAGAATGGTTGGGAGGGAGCATGAAGAATCATTTTCACACATTAATTATCACCATTGAGTCCAGAAGTCTTTAGGAGGTTTATCTTTACCAAAAAAAAAAAAAAAAACATGCACCTCTTGATGGAAATAGGCTTCTTTCCATCAAAAGATGCATCAGTTTTTGGTCAACATCTTGTATTGCCAATGCAAGAGTCCAGCGCTCTGTAAAGTCTCCTCCAGCACATCCCAAAGGTCTGGACTCAATGTGATGATTCATGAGTGAAAATGATTCTTCATGCTCCCTCCCAAACATTCTTTCACAGCTTAAGCCTGATGTATCCTGGCTTTGGCTCAATCCCAATTCACCCCTTGGCCCTACCCCTTGTTTTCAAGTGTACCCCTTGGCCCTTAAGACAGAGTTATAAGGGCCAAGGGATTGAAATATTCCCCTATGAAATGGACAAGCCTTCATGAACCCGATACGCCATCAGTCGTCGGCCGTTGCTCTTAACTTTGAGGAAACATGATGATTATAACATTCCTTCCTCAAAATGTATGTCTTTTCTGATTCGGAAAGGAAACAATTTCTTAATTTAAAATGACTATAGTATTATTGTAAAGTGCATGGTGGAGTCGTCTGGCGCTAAATTGAAATGTTTAACTGTTTGCGAAGCCATCTTGCTGGTAATTTGCGATGCATTCTGTGAACTTTCTCGTAGCCCTCTGATTGAAGTGTGCCTCTGAAAAATCTCCGTTTCGAGGGCTATGTAGCCCTACCCCTCGATCTCAACAAGAATTGAGAACCCTAGCCCTAGACATGAACGTGCAAAACGGAGGGGTAGGGCCAAGGGGTGAATTGGGATTGAGCCTTTGTCATCCTGGAATATGGCCATGATATGCTACACACTCCATCAATTAGGGTTAGAAGAATTGCTGACAAACATAACGTGCTAGAAACTTAATAATCCCTGAGATAACGATCCAGTCATAGACTCTTAAGCATTTGCCTATTTAAATCCTTTTTTTTTTTTGGCTGGACAGTGTATAATGACATACAAATAAGTATAAGAAAGTAGACAGCAAAAAAGCTCAAAGTATAACACAAATGCAAAACAATGTCTCTATTTTTCACAACCAGCTTTTAATTTTTGAAGCTAAAGCTTGATAAATAAGACCTAACAGTTTTGTTGGCTTTTGGTGGAAAAGTTATAAATATCATTTGAACAGATGATTGGACTGCAGCAGTCTCACCTGACCTGATCTGATTCCAATGTGTTTAATACACTCACCTATCTAGATACAGCAGTTGAGCAGATATTAATGATCTGCATATGTTTGAATAATGATTCATGGTTTGACTTAAGCATGAACGTCCTGACCAGAACATTGTGAGATACCTGGTGATACTCGGACAGAATGTTGTGCATGTCGGCTACTTCTTCACTGGAGATGTGCTTGACTATCAGCGTACGGTCATAGGACGTGAAGAGAAGACCTTCTCCCTGTCCATCGCCTTTCATGGGCGCACTGCGGGCCAGGGACACCTGATGGAAAACATCCAGAAAACTTCAGACCAAATTTAGTAGTGATATTGTATTATATGCAAGAAAATTAAGTAAGTGACAACAACTGCTCGTATATATATTTAAGAGGTTTAAAATTAGTGTTGAGCGGTATACCGTTTCATACCAAAAACCGGTGTATATTTTTGTTATGATATTCATTTTTAATTTACCGCCATACCGATGTATTTCATTCGCTGTGCCGCGCGACACTGTTTCAGCTGGACCCTTACAATGTTGCACTTCTAGGCAGCGGCTATGATGCTGCAGAACTATGGCGTTATTTTCCTGTCAAATGTCGAGAGCGCACAATTGTACAGCGAAAGTACATTAATATAATGCGCGAGTGCGAACCTCTCTGCTCGCACGTGGAATATAATGTGCCCCGAGCGCTCTCAGATACACGCTTTCTCTGGGGTCGCTCATAAAACGTGATCAGTGCAATCGCGAATCTCTCCTCTTCCCCAGATAACAATTTTAGGTTATAAGAACGTTTTCATAACGTCACCATTAAGTTATAAAAACGTTATTTCTGAATGTTCTAGGAACATTCAAAACGTCCAGTTTTTTAGACGTTGTATTAACGTTATTTCTTGGTTTTGAGAACGTTATAAGAACGTTCAGTTGTAAAAAACAGTTCACAAGTGGAAAATATCATATTTTCAATTGCACGCAAACGCAGCATTAGACCCAACTCTGAAGTAGGAACTAAATTCATTTCTACAAAAGGAGTTCCTAAAACTAATATCGTTCCTTGTTCCTGCGGTGTGAACTTGCCAAAAAAAAAAAAAAAACGGGTACTATTGCCAATAATTCTAGGAACTATGAAAAGGTTCCTCTGGTGTGAAAGCCCCTAATGGCTGCATCATAGTTTTTATCAAGTTTCACCCATTATGCTTTTTCGGATATTACCTTTCATGTAATGTGTAATATAGCTGGTCTGCAAAGTTTCAATGTGATAATGGAAGTTTTGTGTCAGACGCGCTGTAAATGGCAGACCAAACACAACAGACTGGGTCATCTGACAAATCAGAGGAGAGTAGACTCTCGGAAAGGAGGAGTTTAGAGAAACCTCACTGTGAGAAAATAGGTGATGCTGCAATGTATGTTATGAGAATATTTAAGTGTTTTTTTTTTTTTGGATGCATGTTATGTAGGAGACCTCCAAAATAAAACTAGGAACCTTTAAAATAGCATACTTGGGCACTTTATTAAATAAAGGAAAAAAGGTCACCTGGTAGTCAAGATCTTCAATTCCAAATCGCTCCCTGAGGTTCCTGAAGACTTGTGGACAGTACTCCTTAAATTTAAAATGGCCTGGAAGATTCTCCCTGTAAGGCACATAATGGTCATTTTACATTTACATTGAAAGCCTTTTCAGTATACTGCCTTTCACACTGTGCATTTCCCATCATCTGAAGGCTAAAACCCAATTACCACCTTTCACTGTCATTACATCGAAATCAAGGTAAACATGTTCCTACTGCAGCTGTAGGCACGGCACTCACTGTGCAATGAAAATGTGTGTAAAATAAGGATGTGCTTTTGATAAATACTTGTTGAAGAGATGGTTGTTCACTTTAATTTTGGTGTTGGCTTTGAAGTCGTCAGGGAGCAGCATGACGGGCACAGGAACTTGATTTAAATCATTTATCTGGAAAAAAGAGTGGGTAAAAATAAAACAAATAAAAAAGTTTTTTTTTTTTAAATGTTGCATCTGAAATGAACTTTGCCGGGCAGATTTGAGATCCATATCCCAACACTGAATGATTCATTTATTTGCCTTTTTGCATGTATATGCCTTCTTCTGACAAGTCACTGCATGAAGATTTCTCAGTCTTCTAATTATGCAACAACCGAATGCTTCATATAAGACAAACTTTTTACCTATAGGCAATTACTTCCCAACCCCTCGAAAGTCTTGAAGCAATGTGTAGGATTCCTGTTGAATTTCAATCATAATTTGTACTGCATTTATATCATTTGGATCGACTGCAAGATTAGTGTATTTTGACTAAATTGTTTCATATAAATAGGGGAAAATATTATATGGTTAGAGACAAATTTAAGATTATAAACTTTCTCTGAAACAGTTAGTGATGGGAAATCGGAGTCTTGTCAAACGGTTCTTTCGAACAGTGACAATGAACCGTTCAAAGCAACGATTCAGTGATTCGTTTACCTCATGACGTTATTACATTACGTGGTCCATGTCATTCCAGAGTGGAATATTACATGCTCTAAACGTTTCAATAAAGTAATATAGGCACATACGTTTAGTAATATATGGGTGATTTTTGGAATGAGGCTACATGCCATTTCAATGAAGCCGCGATTCAGATCACACAGAAAAAAAACTTAAAAATCGAATTGTAATTTTTAATCCAAATAGACTACACTAAAATTAACAATACGAGTCAGAAAGGTCCTAAACAGCGGACTAGAATCGGTTAAACTTTTTCAGACTGTGATATGTTTAGGAATCGGCGAGACTGTTAGCTGATCCTTTCAAAGAATCGACTCAAAAGACCAATTCCTTCACAAATCGGACATCACTCACTAGCAACAGTTGCTAATCCGCCGCGTGCATTGAAACAATGTATATCCGGTTTGCGCGTGACCTCATATGTCAATACCATATCAATAACAGTACACACTAATCATTTATTTAATTGATTTTACTTTATGCAATGCTTTACATATCTCAAATCCCCCCAATATACGTGCTTGCAGCTAACTGTTAGCTCATAAAATGGCAGTTGTAGGATGTAAAGTGAATCAAAAACCACCTTACCGAATGATTAACGCCCCACATGAACACGCTGAGCATCGGGTCGCTCGCGCGGAACACTTTCACCTTCTGCTGCACGAAATGTTTCTTTTTGGTCTTGGTTTTGGGGGCGAGCATGACCATCGGGCTGGAGGCGCTGCCGGTGTTACCGAGAGACGCCATCATCACTGTCGGTCACTCCCCTGTAACGCAGCAGCAGCGGTCTGTTTTCTTCTCGGATCTCTCTCTGTTCCTGCTCCGGTTCCTCTAACTGACAATCAACGATCGGACAGCACAAGCGCTAAGCTAAGCCGCGGGGGCCGGTTTTCCGCGGTGTTTTACAGGCCCAGATGGACCGATTCTCCATGGAAGTGAACAACAACACTAGGTTGCTGAAGTGTGGCAGTGAGCTAGATGCTCCTCCCACAAGTTCAGAGGAACAGATCTTGATGTATTGTGACAGCAGGAATGTGTGTGTCAGGCAGGATCTCACCTGAGTGTTGCCTACGTCATGTGGTTTTACAGGTGAGATGAGACAGTGAAAAATATATAAGTATGTATGTATCCAACCATACCTATTAAACTCGTTCTTGCTAGTGACATGAATGACATATTTAAACAAACCGTTCATTTTGAAGAGGATCTTTTCAATGATTCAGTTGAACCGATTCACAATATCGGTTCGTTCACGAATAGGACTGGATTGGACCTTATTTAAAAAAAAGTGACTCATGTGTCTTTCTTGATTTTTGGTTTCTATTGTCATTCTGAACTTTTGAACTTTTTTTTTTTTTAAATGGCTTCCCTTACAAAACATAAAAGTTTAGGAATATCCTGGAAAATAAAATGCTATAGCCTACATTGCATTATACATTTCCATTAAGAAAGCTAGTGCTTATACTTTTCAATATAATGCAATATATGCATGAACCATGTATGGCTACACACACACACACACACACACACACACACACACACACACACACACACACACACACACATATATATATATATGGAGACAAAAACTGTACTAGAATTTTAAATTAATGAATCTTTCATGACTTAACGCATAAAGCTAAACACATAGCCTATTCATACACTTTTTTATCTCACTTTATTGTTTGCAAGGCTATAGTTACACATTTCATGTCATATTTTCAAAAGTGCCAATTCTTTATGTACTATTAAATGTATTGTAATTATTAATACAAATATTATTCTAAATATTCATTAGGCCTATTAGTCTATTAAAAATAAAATTGGCTATTGGTTGTCAGGAAATTAAATATATTTTTGAATATATTTCCATTTCTCACATTAGTTTCCAAGACAAAAACATTGTTTGATAAAATAAATAATAGGCTACTGTTGCAATTAATGTTTAGATAATATACACCAATATGTCAAGTGCTTCGTAATGACGTCAAGAATCGACGATTCGTTCGAAAGAAACGATTCGCCGAATTGAGTCGGACTTCCATTCACAGGAATGAAAACTCAATTCGAAGGACGATTTGTCATGATTGAAGGAATATCTCGAGGCGTTTGGAGATCAGAATAGGGACTTAGGGGTGGTCTTTTTACTCGGGCCTGTAAGCAATACCCAAAACCTGCATAAAAATGCCCGAAATGTCACTGAGAGGACTGTTTGAATATCGTAGCAACGGCCTGACAACCACCCACCCATGTTAATGCATCTTTTGCTCAGGTAAGCATTATTCACCGTTTCGTAAAAGGTGTCGAAATCAGATACAATCATTTTTTGTCATTCAAATACAATCAAAGTGTATTTCCCGCAATAACAGACAGTTGGAGTTGTCTTTTGAACAGTCATTATCCCGTTTGACGCCTGTAGTGGCGCAGGAACCTTACATTTTAAGAATTTAAGGAACTTTTGTTTTTTTGAGTTACTGACTTTATCAAATGTGAATATGGGTGGGTAAAAATGTCATTTAGGCCTTTATTTTCGCCCATATCACCCTTGCCTCAAATAATACATGCATACAAAAATGTTGCCTACTCTCCAAGTCACAGTGATAGAAAGTAGGACATATGCTATAATCTGCTATAGGCTATGTTGTTACCTTGGAAACAAGCATATGGATTGCTGTGTGAGTATACATGTGCATGAATCTGTCTTGGCACAAAAGCTCCAGCATTCAAAACATTTACTCTTTCATTTGTATGATATAAACTGTATAAATAAATAACATTATATGTATCTACTTGGCTGATATAACAAGATATTATATCCTGATACAGCATACAGCCATTCTTAGTAAGCAAAATCTGCTCTAGGCTCACAGAAATGCACAGTCATAGCTCTATTTGAATGATGACAATTTTATGACCATATGGCTGTGTTTTTGCTGCCAACTGCAGCATCTGCTCTTTCTTGTTGCTTTTGCTAATTCATCGCTTTCTATCATCTATTTTAGTGGTGCATGTATTTGGTTTGAAAGTACTAATTTCATGCATGTGAGCTTCTAAATGAGATTCTGCAAAGAGTCCGTTTTTATATTAACATATGCTTTTATTTTTCTCTGTATCCGTTTGTTTGTTTTTTTGTGTGTTTTTTTGTCATAATTCTTGCACACATTATAATTTTTGCAATGGGCTCCTTTTCAAGGGCCCACAACTACTGGCACATATATCGATACACCAAAAATATTTGTGAGGTACATTGATCAGACATTATTTTGTGCACTTTTTTTTTCTCAATGCATTGTGGAAATGAGAAAACACAGCGTTCTGAACAAATTACCCAGAATACAATCTGAAATATTGAAAATTAAGCGATATAGTAACACTTTCCAATACTGAAGGATCAACATAAATAATGAAACAACTGACAAGAAATAATAATAATAATATAAAAAACACATGTACAGCAGTAAATGCTCTCTAAAGGGTGTTTCAATTGTTTTTGTTTTTAATCCCTTTGTATGGTGTCACCAACATATGGCACTCTTTCACTTAGCGAATAAAATAAGCTCTGTTTTGACAATGAAAAACTGCTGACAATATAAAAATACATGGCATCGTAGTTCATTAAATAAATCCACAATTTATATATATTTATATATATATATATAAAATAGCATATTGAAATATATAAAAATATGCCTAACAACTTCTCGAAAAAGGTAACAGGCATCAGCATTCAAGAATATTCCACCTCATGACACAACCAACCACAATAAACTCACTTATGTACAAATAATCCACGATGTGTGTTTGCAGTCAGTGTCGTATGAATGAAAAAGGAGTACTTTCCCAATGTGCACATTATGATAGTATTTAGATGTCGATTACAATGATGGCAATGTGTACAGGTCCTTAAGGAAAGCATTCAAGGATATTTAGCAATGCTCCAGAATAAATTAGACGAGAAGGTATAGTCCGTTTTCTTAAGTATAGTTTAGTCAGTGTATCGTTGGAGAAGGGGAGAGGGGATGGTTTTAACAGTATAACAGCCCATTGAGAAACAAACATAGCTATCACACACACACACACACAAAGTTCTACTGTAGGGCAAGGAATTAAAGATCTCTCTGTAAGAGCTGACCTATCTCGACTTAAGCTCATGTGGTGTAGTGGTCATTATTTCTGTGTTCTGATGCTGATGCTCATGATGGTCGAGTTTATGGCAGTGAACGTGCTCTGGACGTTCTGAGTTAGGGCCCGTTCCCATGTGAAGTGGTTTATCCCTGGTGTGTCCTGGTCAGGCAGTGTCTTGCACCGAGCTGAAGTCATCCCCTCTCCCTGTACCCCTCCTCTTCCTCCAGGCTCAGAGCTGTGGGTCCGTCGCTCCCCTCACTCTCCATCACATGGTAAAATGCCATCCTCCCCGGCACGTGACGGCACGGTGTTGCCCTGCTCGTCCACGCACCAGCAGTGCCCGCGCTGCATGCCCTTAGAGGATCGACACTGCAAAACCACAGGAGATTGTTCTGTTCTGATATGTCATTTTTTCCCCCCTTTGCTTTACTACCCTTTTATCAGCCTCGAATTTTGTCACAGTGACATTCGCGATACAAAGCGTCTCATAACAGTGACCTTCAGAAATCCAAAAATCACAAAGAAGGAAAAAAAGTAATACTATAATGATAATCATGGTTAAAGATTTATACAAAATAGTATATTAACATTAAAAAAAATAGTTATGGTTAAACTTTATTCAAAATTATATATGAAAACTATAACAATAGTTATAGTTAAACTTTATACAAAATTACATACGACCAGTAGTAAATAAAAAACATGTTATGCTTAAACTTTAAACAAAATTATATATAACCACTAGTGAAAAAAATGTTTTTACTAAATTAAATATGATCACTAATGAATGAAAATATTTCATAATTACATAGTTAATCTCAACAAACATATAGGAAAAATGACAAAATTCATATAATGAATACATTTACCTTCACAAAAGTCTATTTGATACCCTTCAGATATCAAAAACCTTCTCCTCAGTTCATTTATTAAAACTAAAGCTGTAAAACCAGCTTCCGCAAGGTCACACAATTCCTGCCTTATTTATTCAACCAATACCTGCTTTTTCCTGTAGAACCCACGTGTGTCACAGTTCGGGATGTAGATGTCGCGATCAGACTGGAAAATGGTGAGCTCAAGACCTCGCAAGACACTGTTGAGCATCTTACGACATGGAGCCTGGTGAGGAAATGTTGAAAACTGCATATTGGAAAACTGCATATCATAACTTTAAATTTGTATTATGGATTTTTTTTCATAACACAACCCAGAGGTACACAAAAGAGTTAAATAATAAAATAAGATTAGGGGATTAAAGAATGTTAAAACCATTTAATTTCCACTTAAATTATACAGCCACAGTCTGACCTGTCTTGCACATTTATAAATGCAATTGTTTAGAATAAATGATTAAATGTTTTTTATCAGAATGTTTTGAGCATAATTCATATAAAACACTATAATTAACCCTATTCCAGAATGTTTTTTTGTTGTTGTTGGTCTTTTCATGCTCAATTAAGATAGTAAGCATGAATTATAGAAGGATAGACTCACCTTTTCTATTTCACCACCACTGTGTGAAGGATGTGACCCTGTGAGAAAAAGGGACATCAATACTGAAAAATGCCTGCATTTTTGAGAGAAAGACTGAATTCATATATTTGGCTGTACTTTTTAGAGTATATGTTGCTTGATTCAGGTTATTTGAACTGTAAACCCCCAACATTTTTAGGGAATAGATCCTTAAATAATTCTCATGAATGGACAATATAAGCTCTCTCAAATTGTAATGACCCAAAGTAAACAGTAGATGGAGACATAAAATGACACTGTCAGAATGTGGGTGACACTCACATATCCTCAAGATCACACACACACACACTACTCTCGCTCTTTATCTCCTCTGTTGCTCTTCTCAATAGTTCCGATGCCCATATGCATGACATACGTGCACAATTGCAAATACACACACACACAGACACACACATCTTGCACATTCATACCCATGACCATTATTACAAGTGATCTTCGTCGTGCGCATTTATGATGTGTGAAAGCCTCAAATCACAGAAATGCCTTTACACCCTTCAGGAATTTACAGCCATCACACGCAAACCAGCAGCTATTCCCAGCACTTTATGCACATGTCCTTGGTTCAGTTACAGTTTTGTCATCCTACCAAGCCTCTGACATGGACACTGCAGCACAGCGGCTTGCAGCACATCCTTGGAACCTGAAATGCATCCTCGAGCTATCTTGCTTTGGCACTTAAAGCAGATCACCGTTCACCGCATGCGGCACGGCGCTGAAAAAGAGCACGCCGGGAGCGCGGAGGAAGGAACCGCAAAAAGGCATCCGTTGGCTGAAAGTCTTACCTGTGGGGCGGGGCTTCTCGGTGGGACTCGTCCTGCTCTGTTTGGCGCAGGAGCCTCTGCCCTGCAGTAGAGCCTGAAGGGGGCTGTGCTCACGCGGAGGGGGCACGCAGCGGAGACCCCTGGCGCAGCTCAGGGTGTACACCCCACAGGGCTCCCCCGACGCCAACGCGGTCGTGCTGGCCGCCCCGGCCGGGTCCCTGGAGGCCCGGCCCGCGCCCGAGGTGTGCCCGTCTTTGCAGGTCATGCAGTTTTTGTGGGGGCCCAAGCGACCCGCCAGGGACCAGGATCCACAGTGGACGATCAGCAACAGGACAACGGGTGTCAAGTTGGAAAGGAAAGACATCTTGCGTCTGGGTCTCAGGTTCTCCATGCTCGGTTCTGTCGTACGTGGCTGATGCTATTTCTGGAAGTCTGTTTCTTTTTCTTCCCCTCTTCTTCTCAGCTTTGCTTGGTGAGGCTGCAAGCCGGGAGTCCCCTGCAGTGCCAGAGGATACAAACCGAGAACGAGTGAGAAACGGCAAGCAGCGGCTTTTAAAGATCTGAAAGGCGGTGATAGAGAGCGAGAGGGAGAGAGCACAGTTATGACACCTTCAGGGGCTGGGACTGAGAGAGAGGGAGAGAGAGAGAGAGAGAGAGAATGTGTAAGGGGGGGTGGAAAAAAAGAGAGAGAGAGAGATTATTTTTCCTTTTAGAAATCATCAAGCTCTGATCCAGCTTTCCCTCACCCATTATTGTATCTGGAAACATTCCTTCGCCCAGGATACTCACTCTGGCTATGATGGTTACTTTTTCTGCATCATCTGTGAAAATCTTAGCGCATTCTAGTAATCTTTTCCATGGTAACAATGAAGATTCCATTTTTCTGGTGATTACACGCGACTACGGTCATTTGCTTGAGGGAGAGTCGCTCCATTAACCCAGTTGCTTCTAAGAATGCTAAAAAGCTCAGCCACTTCTTAGAAGTCAAGCTTTTTAACGTAGCATCGTTGTATTAGTAACTTTTTTTAATGGTTTTATGATATTTCAGATGTAGAAAATCGTGATTGAACTGTTTTAGCAACAGGTCTTTTCTTCCATATTGCGGCACATTATCGTAATGAAGGGCGTGGACTTGGTTCAATGAATGGGTTTTTGGCTTGTGATGAATGTGATCTTGCTGGGGCGGGTTTGATTTGGAGTAAATTATTGGCATACGTCACCAGAGATAAATACTGGATGGTTATAACATTTTGATTAAACATTACATGTCCATTTGTTTTTTTTAAAGAAACATTTTCATGGATCAAACGTTCACAATCTTTTTTTAAGTCTGACACCGTTTCCAGGTCCAAACTCTCTATCAGGTGCCAAAAGTATAAAACAAACAGAACTTACTACTATAAAACGTACTGAAAAATCATCACATGTCACATGTCCTTAGTACACTTTGAGTTTTTCAAACTTGTGATATAAATAAATAGTGAATAAACGGCTATTGAGATTGTATTCTTAACTGAAACGACAGGCTTGGACCTGGAAATGGTATTTCTTACATCATGACTTAAAAAGGGGATAAGATCAATAACATGCATTTAAAAAATATATAGAATTGAAATTTTACGTGGCTTTAAGTGAATGCGAACTCTTGCGTTGACCTAATTGAATGAGCACCTGCATTGCATTTCGAGAACGTCGCCTTATGATGGAGCGATTCAACCGAGGGAGATTCTGCCACTTAATAGTTTATTTTGGAGAGGGGACCATCTGGATAATTGGGGCAGTGTTTTCACTGGAATGTACAAAAGACGGTAAATGCCAGCAACTAATAATGCAATCCATAAGATAAATCTGATCTCTTTGGAGTTGTCCTTTGGCCCAGATACTGTTAATCGAGAGTTTATGCGTTGTCTTTTAGTGCAAAGATGTGACAGAGTGCTTTTGTAGAAGATGATAAAAATTCCATACAGTTGCCAAGGGGCTTTATACTAACTATTTATACCATCAGGATGCACCCAACAGATGTGTCTGATGGGGTCTCTACATGCAAACGGATGCTTTTAGGTCACACCCAGCTGCAGGGGTCCCATGAGGACAGAGCTGTGTTTATTTGTTGTTGTCATGAAGCATGATGGAAGTTAAGATGTCAAAGATGGGCTGGTATGAGTGCAGAAGGCAAACAGGATTTAGATGATTATCTTATGGTATTGACATGTGTGGTCATAGTTCTTTGTAAAACAAACATGTTTGCCTTTAGAGTCTCTGTGTGCGCTATGGAATAGTTCTCTTCATCGGTTACGAAAAGCATTGAACGGTCCCGATATGATAGGCTTATAGTTATTCAACTTCTGCAAACCACAGAAGGTTGGAGCATTCCTTGATTGGGTTGATGTCGGCTGACTGATGTTCTCTTATTAGAGTTGATTAGTCTTGGCAATGAATGCAAAAATCACCTGCCGTCTGGCATTCCCATCCGCACCACAGCACGGCCTGTTCTTTGTTTCCACATGTTCTGGCTGGAGAATGTTCCAAGATGCGTGCCAAATCGATGGGGTCTCTCCATTTCCAGATTCACCAAATTCACACGGTTTTCTTCCTCATCTCTGTCTACAAGTCAGACTTAGCCACAGATGCTTCCAACGCAGTGTTTCTTTTCAAACCTTGCTGCATCCGTTTGTCAGCATTTTCTCAATGTAACATATACCAAAAATAAGATGCATGCATCATCCTGTCTTGCTGGTGTTATGCTCCATACGCTTACAGCAGTCATTATAAATCATTATTAAAGGGCCCTTAGATTGTACCAAATGTTCTGTAACCCACTTTTCAACTATTTGAGGTGATGGAATGCCAGACCGTTACAGAGGACTGGAAGCAGGTATTTATAGTGAATAGAAAATGGAAATAGTTGTGTCACACTTCATAATGCTACATCACTACGCTGTTCTCTGGAATACTTGATTCTGATTGGTCAATCACTGTATTCGATGGTCAAATATCTAAGAATAATGACAGTATTACTGGATGGATGTCTCTCTGATGTCTCTATAAGTGAAATAAATTCAACTCAAATCAGTGTTTTCTGTCTATTTATTTTGTTAATTGTCTGTGAAATTATGTACAGTCTGGTTTTAAATTAACAAATGTGATTGTGGCAGATGTATTTTAAACCCTGATTATTTGACCGGTTGATTGCATATTTTCCCTTAAATATTGCCACAATCACAGTCTTTTAAAACCGCATGATTCTGAGATGATACCGTACTGTGTGTGTATGTAAGTTGTGCTGCGCTCATTTCTTGAAGCCACTCCTACACGCTACGAAGTTTCTCATTGGCTAAGCGCCTGTCAATCAACTCTGTGACGCATTTCATTGGTGCGCTGCATTCATTCCTCCACTGACGCCAACCAGGAAGAATCGCTCTCACTTCTGCGAAGTTTGTCAGGTAACGTTAGCTTAGCTAATGGAGGCGATAGCTAAAAGTAAACACAAGTGGGCTTAGGATGTTATAACGTCTTACCTACTGATGTATATAAGGTACGTATGTGATGTCATCATATTTAGATACGTTACTCTTTAGAAACTGTGGACGTGTAGCGGTTGTGTTATTATTGTATTTTATTTCGAGAAGGCCTCAAAGTAGCCAATAATTTGTTAGCTATCGAAGGTAACTTAATTATTTAGCAGTGATTTAAACTATCCTGCTACAGCTAGTGTGAGCTATTGCATCTCTTACTTAGTAATTATTTCGTTTCTGAATTTTCTTTACACATACAAATGTCATTATAATAGTATGCGGTTATAATAGAAGTTATAATATTTCATCATTTATGTAACGTTAGTCAGTCTTTTGCGTTTAAATACTTTGCATTTGGTATTTTCCCTGTAGTTTTCTGTGTATCTTGACTGTAAACTGATTTATTAAAAACTAATATCTGTGATCTGTTGCTAAATGAATCGACATTTAACGACAATCTAGGATGGATGCATGCATGAATGACAGCTGACACGTTATATTATCTATTGAGGCCTTTGAGACTCAGATAACTTCTCTGACAAGGCATTTATTGCATGCTCGTAAAGCCCACATATGAAATTGAGGATCAAATCTTTTAAAACCATTGCATTCTCTAGGGTAGACATTCCCAAACTTTATTTTTTATTTTATTTTTGTCAGCCCAGGGGCGCAAAAGTTCCTTGAGGGCCACCGTACTGTAGAGTTTAGCTATTGGAAATGATGTGTGACTGAATAAAGTGAACCTAATGTACATTGTGTTCCCAAATGCCCATTTAACACATACAGGGAACCAGCATTTAGTGTGAACCCATTTGATGATAACAATTTCACTTATTTTCATTTGATTTTACAACCCTATTCTATATTCGATTGAATTAGTTTATATTTTTATATTTAATAACAATTTAAATGGTTTCGTCACAAACCCAAGTTTAGGAAACCTTGCTCTAAAGGTTAAAAAACTAAAAATGAAAACAACCATGTGCAGGCCAGGGGTTGAAAAAGGAAAGAACAGCAAGTCCATTATTACTTATTTTTCTCATGTCTTGAATGATTTGCATATCTCCGATTCTCAATCTAAAACCTTTAAACTTTGCGCCATCTGTTTTCTGCTCCACAGGCCTCTGAGATGGATGACATCAATTTACACTACAGATTTCTGAACTGGCGGCGTAGGATCAGAGAAATCAGAGAAGTCCGCGCTGTTCGTTATCAAGAGCGATCCAAACGAATGTTGAAGAATGGAGACACGCTAAGGTAGGTTTGCCCAGCGCTTGACCCTTTCTCTGTTCTTTTTTCTACTTTGTTTGGAAATCAGCTCCCGGCCTGGAATTCATGTGTTGACCCCTCCTAGTTTGTATGGAAAATTTCTGCATTGCTTTTCATTTATCCTTATTCATTTGTATATTTTGAATTGCACAACCATCCACCCTCATCGCTATCAGTGAGCTGTGCTTGCGAGCGTAAAGCGCTGTAAGTGCGTGTATTTGTGCCATAAGTCTGTACTAAATACGTAATCAGCCTTGACCTCACTTACTGAAACAATTATAATTTCTGAGGAAGTCAGTGGCTACTTGTTTTTATTTGACCACAAAAAAGATGAAAAGCAAACTCGATCCATCGGAAAATTAAATAGTTCTCCCACATGTGATGTTTTAACTCCTTTTTTTAGATTGGAAGTCTCCAGCTTCTTCAGAATCAATTCGTATCACTATGTTTGTCCAGTTTGCACAAGGCTGCATTTGATCAGAAATACACTAAAAGAAGCAATTTTGTGAAATATTTTTACAATTTAAAATAACTGTTTTATTTTAAAAATAAAAAATGTAATTTTTCTAGTGATTAATTTTTAGCATCATTACTCAAAGATTCTTTATTATTATCAATGTTCAGTGATCAATTCTGCTGCGTAATATTTTTTTTAAAAACATAATAGACTTCTTGATCAATCAAAAATTCAAAAGAACAGCATTTAATTGAAATATAATGATATTTTGAGTGACCACCTGGTTATTGCTCTGTTGCAGGACGTATATGTGATTTTGCGAGATGCGTGAGAGAGATACATTTACTAATACTATACTATGTAAATTGATTTACATTCTTTGGAAAGCCTATGTGCAATTTTCAAGTGAAATATGAAAGGTGAATATATGGATTATTGAATTTTTAATAATGAAATTTTTTTTGAATTTCAGCCCATAAAAATGCGAGCACTAAAAATATAATGCATTAAAATGCAAGCATGGTTAATGCAATGCCTATTTTTTAAGTAGTGCAATTTAACAGCCTTTTGTTCCATAATTAGGCTTCTTTCTCAACTGTGTACGTTCACTTAAGACAAAATCAACTGTTTACGTTAATACTCTCAAAAATAGTATATTTTGACATTTTTGTGTGTACGCGTTTAGGCTCGTATCCGAAGCCCATTTGATGTTCCGCGTTCGACTCTGACTCTGACTCGGAGCACGCACACAGAAAGCCGCCTGGTTAATAACACTGTTTAATATCAAACGTACTGGAGTTTAGAACATTAGACTGAATTTTACAGCACTCACTTATTTGACTGATTGAATGTTTAGTTTGGGCTTTAAGGAAGAAAATGTGGAATTCGGCAGTGGCACAATAATCGTTTTACCTTGATTATCTTGTTTTCACAATCGTTGGAAGCCAAAAATCAGTTACGATTAATCACACAGCCCTAAAATATAATTTACTCTCCAGGAGCTATTCAGTCTGCTAAATATAATAAACTGAGTAACAGTCAAGTCGGTAAAAATCACATTTTATACTAAAATAAATTTCTAAATAAATAAGTAGTGACTGGTTTATTATCCTTTATAATTTGATTAAATGCATTTTGCCAGATTCAGTGCATCCTGAACTTGAGTTCTTTGTTGAATCTGGCATGTTTGATCAGGATGTTCTTATCCAGTGTGTGTCTGGATGAAATCGTGGCTGTATTTAACAACTGATTGAACTAACTGATTTCTTTGCTCCGTCCATGTAGTCGTCACGTCATCAGCGAAAAAAATACCGATATTAGGAAAAAAAAATCACATTTCTTATTGTGGTATTGTAACAATACAGACATAATTGAAATGCTTACATTATCCCACTGCTTATGTCTATGTTCACCAAAAGGACAGATGGTAAACTTAATATTATTTAGATTTAAATTAAGATGTGCAAGAGTTTATAGCCGTCTCCAAAAGAAGCTAGTCTCATCCATATCAGTGTGAAACATGTAGAAACACAACTGAACCTGATTTCAGCAGCTGGTCCACTAATCACTGGCCATTTTAATAATGTACCTATAGCAACAGTGCTCTGGTTATTAAAGATTAAGCTTTTATTACTTTCCTGCTGTAGTTACCAAGGGAACTCTGATGAAGTTGGCTGCTACGTGGCTCCACGCCCCTTATCAAAAGGAAACTGTTACTTCGAGGTAAGTAGCACACCTATGTTATCAGGTTGCTAAAAACATTAGAATCATTTCAACACCCTTTCTGTTGCCTTTAAGAAAAACAGTGACCTACGTACTTAGAACTTTTTTGTAACTGTATGCACGGATATTTCAATTAAATCTCCAGTGTTTTCAATTTCATTATGATTTTGTGGATGTCTTATGCTGTAGCCAAATGTTTGTCTTGCATGTGGTCTTTAATCATCTGCCTTTTCACACGCTATTTTTTCATACAGTTTTTGCAAAGAAAATAAGCTTTCTAAAGTGAATGCTTAATTTAATTTAATTTTTTCTCAGAATTTTTGTTACTGTCTATGAAAATCACTTCGGACAGGATTAGTTTTCTAAATGACATTTGAGTTTTTACGTTGGATGATTTCATTATCTGATTTGGACAGGATTTAAAGGTGGGAGTGAAGCAAGGTTGTGTGTGCTTGAATAAGTTAAAAATCACTTCCAAATTCATAGTTGTCAACAACAAATTTCTAGTCGTTTAGACAGCTCGCAGACTAGTCTGTTTTTAAAATGTGTAATGTTTCCTGTGTCCCTCCACGTCAAAATAGACACTGCCCTATGAGTTGATGTACTCCGATATTACTGCTACCTCTCTAGCAACTTTGCTATAAAATACAGTTTGAAAAAGAAGCTCCCAGGTGATTTAGTACCGGAAAACTTGCAGGGATTGGGCTATAAATTAGTCTCTGGGAGAGGGCAAGCGTGATTTAATTTATGGAGCTCAGTAGAAGCCGTCTGGTTGTGTATCTGAGGAGGGAGACAGCTCTGATGGGTTTTCTGCTGCTGGCAGATTGAGCTGGTGTGATGAACTTCCTCTCTGGGGGATTGGAGCGGGAAAGTAACACCCTGTACGTTAGCCTGATGAGTCCTTCATACAGCCAGTGTCATAGTTTGAATTTTGTAAATATTTTGTCATGTCATATTGATTCATTTTTGCCCTTTTTAGGCCATTTAAAATGCATGGAATTCTAATTGCTGAAAATAATAAATTACTATGTATTAATTTAAACCTGTACTAAACATATTTTTATGAACATAAACAAGGATTAGCTACTTTTTAATTTTCGGTGTTTTAGAGACCTTTTTTGGATATCGTATTGTATTTATCATGCAATGTTGTGGGAGTGACTCCACAACGAGAGGTGTGCATTTAGACTCTCTCATTTAGAAATTCTGGCATAATTTTCACATGCCTGGCACAGAAATCTCTGATTTCTTCAAAAATTACTTCATTTGTGTTCCGAAGATGAGCGAAAGTCTTGCGGGTTTGGAACGACAGAAGGGTTAGTAATCAATGACGGAATTTTCATTTTTATGTGAACTAACCTATTTAGTCGAATTAATTTCGTTACACTTTAAAGTAAAATTTATTTTATCACAATGCTTTTTTTTTTGCCTCATCTTCTTTATCAAAGATAATCAGAGAGCTAATTTTCATTAGTTAAATACAGTCCATCCATGACTGGTTGATTTTGAAAATATGTATTTTTGCACATCCCTCTGGTTGTGTTTAGTTTGGTTGTGCCCAGTTTTGAAGGATTTTTTGAGACTGTAACATTTATTCTAATTTAATAATCAACGTTGGCTCGTAAAAAAAGGCTATTTCTTAAAGCGGATGTCTCAAACTAAACTATTGCAATCTTATTGACCAAAAGCGTCACTCCATGCGTGAGTGTGCACCCTGGGAATATCTACAGCCAGTGGAAATGAATGTGACATCTGCAGCAGTGAGCTATGAGTAATCAATAAAGACCTCGCTCTTGCTTTATACGCTCTACATCACCTGATTGTGACGCAGAATCATTCAGATTTGCAAAGTCTGGGAACTTTTTTCTTCTTCTGCTTCGTAAAGGTCATCTGCCAGTCGGGATATGCGTCAGCGTCGTCCTCATGTTTCCTTATTACTCTTTCACAGGGGTTTCATTTTAGCCCTTGTGGGCAGGGAAGCCAACGCTCCATCACAATTGAACTGTGTTGCTGCACCTTCACCGCCTATTTTATCATTCAAGTGCCATAGAGTGATTAACCCCTGCTCTGTTTTCTCAGTGTGCTCACATGTGCATGTGCAAATCAATTTTGTCCTTAGTCAAGTGGAAATATCTCTATTAGTGTAATTGATTATTTTGCCTGGAGCTTCGACGTGGAATTTTGTAGCCACAAGGTTCATGGCACGGTTCTTTGTTGAAGTTGCGGTGATATAATTGAGTGCCCTTAAATTAATCATTGTGCAGCTTTGAATTTACAGCAGGAAAGGCTTGGAAGCAGTTGCAAGCATTCGCATATAGGCTTATCAGGATTTACGCTAGCCATATAAAGCTTGGAAAGAAAATCCTCGAAAGTAACGACAAGGAAGATGAGGAAACTTGGACTTAAACCTTTTGGAAGTGGTGCCGTCGCTTTCTAAGTCCGTTTGTGGTTTTGGATGAGTGTGCAGAGTTAAGTTTAGTTTGTGGTGCAGTAACTGGATTCATTTGTCTATGCTTGCTCCTTCCAAGGGTACGGCTACAACAGTTGCGTCGTGTGGCAGGAATAATCCGTCTTTTTTGCAAGATAGTCCCTCAAATTCAACAAATCCTATTCCACGTTGAACTTTCAATAAAACAAATCGCTTGGTCTGCCTGAAAACTTGATTAATGAGCATGAGAAAATTAACAAATGGGCTTTGGCAGTTATTTCTACATTTCATAGCTTTATGTTCTTGCCGAGGAGAGGGTGTGGAAGTTGTTCGGAGATGCTTTGCATACAAGGGAGAGATAAGTAGTAGCCGAGATGTTAAAATTCTTAATAACAGGTTACCTGACATTTCCATCCTGTGACTCAGCCGAACGCTCCTTGTTAACTCTTGATTCCTACACCGTCTGTTATTTTGGAATCAGTGCGGCTCGTGACGCACATAACCGTTGGCATTTGCTTAGAAGTCCCTGAAAGACATCTTTTGCCCTTTAGTCATTTAAAAATAAACTGTCATAAAAAACTGAATTGCTCAGCTGTACTGCACATATACTGAAGCTTGTGTGTTTTTAATGGTTTTTTATGATATTTCAAGGTGACCATTATGGATACTGGAGTGAGAGGGACGATTGCTGTCGGGCTGGTTCCTCAATATTATAAACTTGACCATCAGCCTGGCTGGCTTCCGCACTCAATCGCTTACCATGCTGATGATGGGAAGTAAGTTCACATTAAGAGTTGGTACTTACTTTTTTTTTCAAATAAAATGTCTACTTTTGCTCTTTTATTTTCTAAACCCTTGGGTTTAAATATTTATTTTGATATATTTACTGATTTTTATTCTGATATATTAAAGTCGGCGTGAAACGGAAGTTGAGATTGTCCTTTTTTCCATGTCGTGACGTATATCCGAGTGAAACGGCTTCTGAAATTAGAAAAAAATGTAGGGCAGGGCTTGATTTTGTCCTTCAAAAATTGATTGGATCATTGGAGGTTGGGCGTTGCAAACAAAATGGAGACAGATTTAAATGCGATCCTCTTAGAGGCGGTGTACCGATTAGCTGCACCCTCATCGGGTCTGGCCGCACCCTTTCGCCATTGCACTTGACCGAAATAGAAGAGAGGTCGTTTTGATGGGGGAGGGAACGGTAATGTATTTCATTAAATATTATAAGGGTACATTATTTTTTTTTTTTTAAAGTAATGAAGTGCACAGATAAATCATTTATAATAAACTCTACAATATTACATATAAAAAGAAGATTTGTCAAATTTGATTTCATGCCGACTTTAAAATATTTCAATATTTAATACATTTGTCTTTAACCAAAATGCTTTAGTTTGTAAACTTTGTTTTGTTGTTTACCTTGTGGAATTTTTTTTTAAAGATCACTTCCTCCTTTCTATGAACGTTTCCTGTTATAAGTCATAAGTGACGGTATCTCTCCTTTTCACAGGCTATACAACGGCAACCCTGTCGGTCAGCAGTTCGGACCTAAATGTAACCGGGGGGACCGAATCGGTTGCGGAATCTATGCAGACTCTTTTGATGCTGGACTCATCACTGTGTTCTTCACAAAGAATGGCAAGGAGGTGAGTCTCCATGCCTTGGTACTGAAGTCACAGAACTGTAATGTTGTCAAAAATACAAGTGTCCACTATGTAAATATAATCAGAGACCATACATTTATGCATTCTTTCACTAATTACATAACACCTACCTCAAACTACGAATTCTATGGATCATTGTGTGTAATGGTTTTGTTTATTACTCCATTATAGTGGTTACAAGAATCGGTAGAGCTAAAGTCTTTGAACACACAATAGTCTAGTCTTCTAATTGAGGGTTGTTTTCCGATGACTGGTTTTCCTGCAGGCCAGATAGAAGGACCAGGGGGTGATACAGACATCATTTCAATGAGCAGTCTTTATTCTCAGTTATAATGTGCTGTAAAATAGTGGTTAACTTTATGAAATGCTTTAACAGAGCTCTCTTTATGTGTATGTGTGAATGGAAGGTGGGGTCAGTGGTGGTGCCGGTGGCTCCAGATGGGCTTTTCCCTGCCATTGGCATGCACTCCCTCGGCGAAGAGGTACGGTTGGACCTGCAGGCGGAATGGGGTTCAGAGGAGGAGGACAGCGTCATGATGGTGGACAGCCATGAGGATGAATGGGCACGCCTGTATGATGTCAGAGTCAGCGGCACGGTGAGTGAGTGGGTGGGTGGGGGTGGGGGGACAGCCCTGTCTGTTAAACCAGGCCTTAATGTTTTTATCTCTTTTTGTCTCTTATGCTCACCAACGCTGAATTTATTTGATGAACGTTATGAAATGTTATTTCAAATAACTGTTCTATTTTAATGTATTTTAAAAACTCTTCAGTGTCATGTGATCCTTTAGAAAACGTCTTAATATCAATTTTGAAAACAGCTTTTGACAGAGCTGCTTAATATTTTTGAGGAAACTATGAAAATAGAAATCTTTTAAAACATTATAAATGTCTTCACTCTCGCTTTTTTATTGATTTTAATTTATCTTTGTGAAACAAGGCATCCATTTCTTTAAAATATAAAATCGTACTCAGACTTTGGAATGATAGAGTTATTGTGATAAATAAGGTCTGTGCTCTTTTAGTGTTACTTTGATGCAATCCTTGCTTGAAGTATTTTGAATCATCATACTTCACAGGTTTGCCCCAATAAATTCTGACATGAATGATGTGAATCCAAAAACCACACATTACTTTACTTCCTGTCAGCCATTTTTTAAGTTGACATTATCATTCTTAGAAAAAAAAAAACACCTGGAGGAACACAGTGATAGAAGTGTCTGCCGAACTCAAGCGTGTGTGGCGTTGTGACTGAGTGTAGGGAATTGCTTGCTGGAGGCAACAATTTTTTTCACCCATAATTCCTCAGAGTAGTGTTAAGATAAAGTTGAAAGGAACAAGCAGTCTTGTGTTTGGGTTGGTTATGGAGCAAAGACCTCCCAATAGAGTGAGACTCTGGATCCAAAAGTCCAAAAAGTGCAGAGTACAGATGTTCTTCTAGGAAAGGATTGTGCGCCCATCATGCTCACCTTCCCATCTGATGCTCTGGACCTTCAGAGGCCTATTAATGCTCTACTGAGGTCATGAAAGCATGCAGCATAAAGTGCCGCACTGTCGTTATGCTTTACTGAGCTGATGGCACGAACCGGGCAGCGCAGGCCAGAGCTGGCACTAGACCAGCTTGTAAAAACTCAATAAGAGGACTTACGGGGTGCCAAGGAATCTTTTTGCCTGTTTAAAATGTGGTTGAAGGTTTTCTCAGCTGTGTGCCTTCTCTGTGAGTCCTGTTGGCTTGGCGAGAAGGTGTCCCAAGACTTATAGACTCTGCTGATAAGGGCATGTTTTGACAAGATGGAACCAAGTCCCAATGCCCCATCGTTTAGTTTCCACATTAGTCAGCATCAAGTAAGTTTCTTTGAGATTGGTGATCTCCTCACTTTAGAGAGATTTTGTGCAAAGCACTCCTCGCCATCAGAGGTATGCTAATAGTAAAATGTAGGTTTGATAGCCGAGGTTCGTCAGGCAGCTTTTGACGATACTCATCTCCTAGTCTTAAGGCACGATCTAATGTAAACCAAAACTTAAAGTGTTCTTTACTTAGCAATCTGTCACAAGAGTCCATTTTGTGGTCCGTCTCTGACGGATCCAACATACTGTCTGCGTTTTCCAGAACTCCTCCAGTCATTCCCTCCATATATGGAGCCGTTCTTGTCTTTCGGTGTTGGTGATAGTTTCTAATAGGAACACATTCTCTTTGGTAAAATTAATTAGAAATGTCTGTCTTTCAGTAAGCCCTTGGAAAAACAAGTATATCAGTATAGATATCAACATCAGTATCTTTGTTAAACCATCTTTGTTTATTTATCAAACAACGCCGGCTGAGTTTTACAAATCTTATACGTGATGTCACCATAGAACTATGCAGTGAATTTATTACAGGGACAAACCTTAAACGACCTGGGTAAAGGTAAAGGAGAAATTCACCCAATGATGGAAGCTCTGTCGTCATTGGAATACAAAATGAGACATTAGCACATTTGCTCATTTATACTTGATGTGTCATCCTGGGATTGACGTCAATGGCACCAAACCCTATTGGTTCGATTGGTGATTGTGACATGGCAAGAATATTTTCATAACTGGAAATTAGCATTTTAGGACATCACCTTAAGTTATACAGGATTTGGAATAACACAAGGGTGAGTAAATGATGACAGAGTTTTCATTTATAGGGTGTATTAATAGCACTAATTTGCTCTGTTTTCGACTGTTCATGTTTACATTCATTACAATCACATGGCCACCCCTGTTTAGATGAGAAAATATCACATTCTGACACGCTGTTAACTGTTAATTTTTTTGACTGTCTATGGTTTGTCATCCGTCTTCAACAATGTGTAACATGGAAATATTTTGATGCAAAGTAGTGTGATTCACTCCTATAATAGATTGTGCGAGTTATAACAGCTCATCATGGCCTTTCCTTCTTCTGAGCACCCACATAGCTACAATAAAACCTGCATTTGATGAAAATGTAATGCGATCCACTTACTGCCTCAAGATGCAGCCTGTCTAATGATGGAAGGGTCAAAAACCTTCGTAAAATGATAGTAATATGATCACATATGTAAATGTCTAAAACCACAATATCAACTTGGGCAACACAGGCATTTTTCATAAAGCATTTTTCCATATCCTGAAAAGTTGCATTTTTGGATATATACAAGGTTTCTGCTGTGACAATATACAAAAGGTGTTCCTAGAACTAAAATCGTTCCCAGTTCCTGCACAGAACGCGCCAAAAAGCAGATATTTCCGCGATTAGTTTTAGTGCGAATTCGTGCGAAATCCCCTTTTGTGAGCATAAGAGACTTCTTTCAAAAACATTATTGTTTTTTTTTCTTTGCACAATCTGGGCTATCACACAGATCAGTGCTGTCCAGATGAGATTATTGTTTTCGGTGGAAGATCCCTTTCACAGATGAACTGTGGGAAACTGAAGATTTGCTGACTCCTCCACTTCTCTTTCCAGTTAGCCTGTGTAAAGCCACTAATTAGCCCATTCCCATCTCATTTAAGTGGTCTTTCTGGGTTATTCTGGAAATTCTGGGTTAAATATAGCATTAGTTTTACTGGATCTGGCAACTTTAAACAGCACTATGTCTGCTGCCGTTTCTGGTTACAATTAATGCATGAAACAATCACATCATCAGAAAGAGATAATTGCATTCAAATGATATGGAAAATGGTGGATTAGTATGATCTACTCAGACCCATAAATCTTCAGACTAGCCCTGATACTGTATGTGTAGCCAACATCTACAGCATACAATCTCACATCGAGCAAAATTGAGCAATGAATTGTCACACATAGGTCACCCCTGCCTTTGTATGTGTGTTTGTGTTATGAGGAGGCGTTTGGCTGGCGCCGCTGTGTACGTGCGGTTCTATGCGAACGCATGGCAGAGATCAGTTTAGCTGTTACTACAGCAGAGCCTCTGCCCACCGACTAATCTCCCTACGGCTCTGTGGCCGCCAGACTGGAGTACTGCTCGCTTTACCCAGCATACACATCCACACCAATGCTAGCTTACACATACTCACTTCCAAGGCCTTACATACTGTTTTATACTCATGCATGCACATACACTGACTCGCACGCATGCTTATGAGCTGGTTGGGAGTGATAACGTCTGAGAATGCTGGCTTCAGAGCAAAGATTTATGGTCATAGCCTCTTTGGCCCATATCTTTTTTTTTTTTTTTTTTTAAACACTTCAGCTCTGAGTGTTTGTGGTTTCATCAGGCCTGGCAATGTTGCTGAGTGTCTGAAACTGAAGGGGTGACTCAAAGGGTTCAACCCATTACTGTACATTCCCCCGTCCCTGTCAGAGAAATTATTGAACCTTAACGTTGTACAAAAGAATGAATGACAGTCCTCAAGCCTTCTGGCGCTGTAGATGTGACCGCGGCCTGGTTAATTCTGGTTAGACTTTTGGAGCTGCACTCGTTCAATTAAGTCTGGACGGGAATGCATTATTCATTGTCGTTATGGCTTTAACTGTATTACTGTAACACTAACCACTGTCAGACGTGTTTCATAGTTTCATCTTGAATAAGCTACCAGGGAAATCTATTTTCTTACACAACATCCCTACAGGGCAGTTGGATGCAGTTTTGTGTATTTCCATTCGGTTTTGAGTTCATCTGATGAACTTTTAGTGTCCATATCAATGGACGGTCTTTTTGGTTAGCCTGAGTTCATCTGTTTCCCACAACAGGACGGTTTCAATTGAACTCAGTGTGTGAGAACACTGGAAAATCACTTCAACCCTTAAACGGAACTTGAAAGTGTGAGAAAAAAGGAAATAATGACTTATCTGTAGCAGGGAGAGGCTGTTAACCTGCTTTAACATGTAATTTCCGTTGGGTTTGCATCCTTTTTTGATCAAAAACAAGATATGACTGTCAAATGACATGTTAGGCAAAAGGAAAAAGGCTAGCTGGCTGCGTAATATGGCATCAAAAATAGTTTTAGAATGATTTGAGCCAAAGAATCGCAATTTATGGGACCATTGTTGTTTTATTGGTCATTTGATTTCATGTTATTGAAGCATAGCAGTTTTGGAGATTTCTAAGTAGATCAGAGCTGCTTGTATATGTATGGAGTGAACTGACCTGGTAATGCAAACATCACTTAACAGACGCTTTGCATGATTTGCGTCTGTCGAGTGAAGTGTCGAGCTGCAGCGTCATCCCTGGTGCTGTTTTGCGTGAATGTCAAGTCTTCAGCTTAAAGTTCAAACTGAGCTTTTTTTAGAGTCCCTTGATTGGTTCTGCGTGTTCTTGAAACTTAGCAGGTGGAAATGTAACTGTTAGCCTGCAGCTGTTGGCAGTTATGGTCCTGCAACCAAATTCAGAAATGTTTAGCATTCGGAGGTAGTAACCAAAGGCTTCTGGTTCAATCCCCATAAGATCCATCACCATTGTGTTTTTGAGCAAGGCGTTTAACCCCAGGGTAACCCAAAGTTCTCAGCGCCATTCTGTTGTGAAATCGCATTAAAATTGCAAAAATAAATTCCAGACCATGTCAGGAACCGAACAGTGATCCTCATTGCGGCAGATCTTTGGGAAAGGAAATATTTTTGACTAATGTCTTTATGGGTGGTTTTGTTTCTAACTTCTGTTAACTTCACAACAAGGTCTGATTCTTATAGCCAACATACATAAAATATTTTTTTTTTTACAAAAATGCAATTAATCTTTGAAATGTTAGTTAATTAAAATAGTTTACATGTCAGTTTACACTTCACAGTACATTAACTAATGTTAACAGATGCAACTTTTGATTTTCAAAATGTACTAGTAACTTTTGAAATTTATATTAAATAAAAACTAATAAATGCATCAGATGATGTTACAAGTTGTCTGTCGGCTAGCAGTTACTAACAGTCCGTCTAAACACAATTTATCCTTACTCCTTGATTGTGTTAAGCTGAACTTGACTTTTTTTAAGCTGAATTTTTGTATTTTTTTCTTCAGTGAGCCATTGCAGTTTCGGGTATTGACAGAAAAGTCAAATATGTAGCAGTCTGGACTCCAGACTGTGACCAAAAGCATTTTGTTACAGTTTTTCCTGCTTGTGCGACTACTTTTGTTAGAGGTCGCTCTGGTGCCACCACCACATTGTCCAACTGATAAGAGCTGCCTTTTCTGTTGCATATGAGAAACATCAAAAGGCAAATGAACTGAAATAGAGGAACGAAGCGCAACGCATTTGAGCTGCGCATCACGGACCATTTATCCTTTCGGAGCAATAATATTGCAGCACTAGCTCAGAACAGGTTTTACCCGCGGACCGATCTCGGATCACGCGACACTGTTACTACTGCTGTGCTGTAAGATCCTGTGAGAAAGCTTTTGAATTCGCGGCAATGCTGCTAGATCAAGTGGGAATCATGGTCTATAACACTGATGTGTTTTACCGAACAGGTGTTAGCGCCACCATCTGTAGAACTTAGTGGCACCGGTGCTACTGCTCTCATATCTCAGTCTGGGGCCCTGGTAGAAGTTTATTTTTGACTCCTCCGTCATTTCAGCATGAACTAATCAAAAGGAAACCAAAAGAATTTTGTGGTTGATAGTGTTTTTCAGAGGTTTTTTTTGTTGTTGTTTTTTTTGTGGAGATTTGCAGAGCCATCTAAGTATGTAAATGTCTTTTATCACGCTATGTCCAACAGCATCAGTTGCAGCTGTACTTCGGCAGGAGTGAATGATTATGGTTGGGCAACATATTCCCTGCTGCAATAACTGGTAGTGATAGTTGCATCTATTAAAAGGTGGTAAAAGACACCACAGACCAGGCCACCGTTGAGATTTCCAGCTAAACACTAGTAGATTTATTTTGAAGAAATGCATGAGGCTCAGAGTTATTTTTTTATAATCTGAAAAAAAAAATTGTAATTGAGGAATACTGAATCTGTTTTTGTGAAGTGAGATGAGTTCAAGCATGCTCACATTTAGTCTAAAACTACAATAACCGTCATGTTTACTTTACATAGCGCACACAATATCTCTGCCCTTACTCCCGATTTCTCTTAACATGGGAACAGGAGAGCTGTTAGTCAATAAATAAGAAAACAAAATAACTTGCAACAAGATATTTTGTTGTATGCATGAAAAAAGGAATCTAGTTTTATAACTCACATTTCTTTTAATCCTTGTAATGAATAAATCCCTATCAATTTAAACGTGTGGCTTTGGTGCTGCTCAAACACCCATTGTTATGATTGGCTAATATCTTTGCATAGGAAATGAAGTATGCTGACAACATTTAAAATGATCCAGTCAAACGGTGAAGGGTTTATAAATCTATATGTTGCTGTTTTTATAGCCCAGGTAGTTTTACTGCACCCTAAGCCATAAATAATTACATATCCATCCAGATGCTTTACATTACATTATGGCTTGGCTGCTGGCAAAGTCCTTTTTAAGGAAAGTCGATTCACTCTGTGGCCATATTTGCAACACCATCCAAGGACCAAGTCCTATCCACTTGAATGGGGGAATCCTGAAATCACATGAATCTCCTTCGGAAAGTCATGCTGGTTTCCACAGTCAGCAGTGGCACATTTATCTTAATCTTTTTAATTTGTCTTGGCGTCTTAAAAACGTGCTAGCGAGGCACACAGTAATGGTCAAAGGCCAAAGTCAAGAGCATATTTATGTAGAAAAATAATTAAAAACAGTGCAGACTGACATGATTTTGCTTTCTCGCAGCTAGACACAGCAGAGTGGACGTGACATGCTGAACTTCTTTTAACTTAAAAACTTGTGTCTCATCTGATGGCCCTCTAACTGTAATTTTTTGTGTGTAGGAACAGTGGCTGTTCTACGGCTCCTTTATTATTTGACCTGCTGAGTACCAGTGAGCAGGTCATGGAGATGATGATGTGAAAGTAGACATAAAATGTGTCCTTTATCTTTTATCTAAGAATAAATGAATGGATGGGGATATTCCTGCCACAACTTGTCCTAAAAACATTTAAGAATTGTACTGAGATAGCATTATGTAAACATACCAAATACTTTTCTATAATACATCATATGAAATCATTTTGTTTTGCTTTTAGGACCGTCTTTGGAAAGTGACAGGAATTCCCAGCACTCCACAAAAAGGAGTCTGCATGTTGAGGCTTTTAATATATTGTTGTGTCAATTAGACAAGCAGCTGAATGCCAAGTTCAGCTTAACACTATCAAGAAGTAAGGATAAATTGTGTTTAGACTGACTGTTAGTCGACAGACAACTTGTAGCAACATCATCTGATGATGTCAAAACATAGATCTTATTTTAAAGGCTGAAGACAAGTGATGAACTAGACAAATATCTCAGTGGCTCCAATTGTAGGCGTCTCCCTCTTTGTGTCCTCCACCTTTTCCACATTCTCCGTACCCTGACAGGAAGTTGTGGGGCTTGCTCGCAATGTTGCACCTGTTGCCGGGGCAGCGGGTCAACAAAACAAGCTGCCGCCTCCACGCAGGTCTGGGGATGGTAACGTTCGAGAGCATATCAGATCTGTCAGCACTGTCATTCAAGCATGCTGTGAGCTGTTTAGAGCCGTTAGGAGTGGTATAAAGGTAGACAACCTCCCCATTACTCAGCATCAAGGAGGCAGGAATGTGTGACTAGGTGCAATTTTGCCTCCATCCTCAACTGAGCAGGCAACTGTCCTGGCACGTAAACTTGAAGATGTTGATGTTGAAAAGAAGAGTCGGGTGTAGGCAGAAAAAAAGCACTACTTTGCGTCTATAAAAAGCAACACCCGATTAAAACTGATTAATGGATTTTTCAGCCCTTCGGTGGGTGCATTCTCCAGTGAGCATCAGGAGATAACTTCTGTTTGAGGAACACACGTTCTTCCATATTGAACACTGATCAGTTAAGTTGGAAAGATCAAGCCTGCTTTTGATCAAAGTGATGCCTGATTGTTAGCAGGATTGTGCGTCTGTCTTTCTGTAGTTCATCAGTGTTTTTGATTTCAGTTTGGGATATTCTTGGACATCTCGGAGCAATCTGTTTAATGGCTGCGTTTGCCTTTTGCACGCACTTTTCTGTGTTTTATAAAACATGTGGTCATAACCGGCATGTTGCTGTACGAGGCCCTTTGTTAGAGTCTCCTTCTGACCGGCATTCATTTACCGGCGTAAACAATAATAGCTAAGATTGTTGTAGATGCCATCAGAGAAATCTTTCCATTGCACCAACAAAGTGCTGATTCTGCCATTGCAAACGGAAATTTTTAAGTAATTAATGACAACCAGTTGCAATCTGAAAGTAATCATGATGCTGTGTTGTGAGTTTAGAAGCTGTGTGGCCAGAAACGGAACCTGAAAGAAAGGCAGTAGCATTTTTAGGCCTCAAATGGCGCTTTTCCACTGCATGGTACGGTTCGGTTCGGCACACTTTGGCGCATTTCCACTGCATGGTACGGTACGGTTTGGTTCAGCACGCTTTGGCGCATTTCCAATGCATGGTACGGTACGGTTTAGTTCGGCCCGCTTTGGCGCATTTCCACTGCATGGTACGGTTTGGTTCAGCACGCTTTAGCGCATTTCCACTGCATGGTACGGTACGGTTCGACACGCTTTGGCGCATTTACACTGCATGGCACGGTATGGTTTGGTTCAGCACGCTTTGGCGTATTTCCTCTACATGGTACGGTACAGTTTGGTTTCGCACGCTTTGGCGCATTTCCTCTACATGGTACGGTTTGGTTCGGCACGCTTTGGCGCGTTTCCACTGCATGGTACGGTACGGTAAGATTCAGCTCAGCTCACTTATGGCGCATTTCCACTGCACGGTACGATACGGTTCAGCTCAGCTCACTTATGGCGCATTTCCACTCTCCAGAGTGACAGAGAGTCAGGTCCTCGGTTAAACGTCTCATCCGAAGGACTACTCGCAGCCAAACTGACCTTTTTTATAGATTCATTTGGTTTATGCCAAGTTACACTTTAAACTAACCATATAATCCATCCAACAAGATCCTGTTTTCTTCTATTTGAGCAAACAGTTGAAATCTCGAGATTACAACATTTGTAATGATGTCTAATACACTATAATGTATCTAAATGAAGTCTGATTAAGACTATGATATGTTCTACCACAGCTTCTGGAATATGTTGGGAAAGGGAAGAGCATCATGGACGTGGGTCTGGCTCAGGCCCGGCAGCCCCTCACAACACGAAGTCACTACTTTGAAGTGGAGATTGTGGATTCTGGAGAGAAGTGCTACATCGCCCTGGGCCTGGCAAGAAGAGTAAGTCAATTGTGTAATTATTCCTCATTTAAAAGTTTCTTCTGATAAAAGTGTTTGCAAAATGGATCAATGTAGGGAGTGCATGCACACATGCATGACATTTCCCATCCTTCGATATATTCTCCTAAATGCTCTGTAATACTTGTCACATTTCATCATGCATTGCAAATGCCATTTCATTTTTTGGTTTGTTTTTAAGGTATTTTTGGCAATAGTAAAGTTTTTTGAAGTATTTTGAATTCCCTGTGGTTTTGGCCAGAACAAGAATGGATATGTACAGTAAGCTCTGGATATCAACCAAAATTGCAAATGCGGCTCCACAACATTGCGACCTCATAACGGTTACAGTTTGACAGGCCCTGAGGCACAGTGTGCAAATAAAACCTGTGGTTTGAGAGAATCACCTTGCTGTCAAGCTCAAATGAATAACTCACTCCTCTGTCATCATTTACTCATCCTCTAGTTTTTCTCATTACTTGTTTTCTGTCATAACTTTTCCATAACTTTGTTTCTTCCGGCAAAATGAGGGGCTTTAGCAGAGGAGAAACTTTTCAAAGTTCCTATAACTATGACTCTACAAACTTACTCCACAAACACGACTCTTTTCTCAACATTGATGATGTGAATCACTGCAAGTTGTCATAGCAGATTTCGTCTCTTGAGGCCCTTTTACAGTGAGCGAGATTAGGCAATGCAAATGTACGTCACTATGTCGTAGTGAGAAGAGAGAATGGAATGAATGTTATCATTGCTGTTTGAGAACAGATTTATTCTTGCATGTTCTTTATACAGATTATAATTTCTATCAATTTTTTCACTGAATTATGTCATTTGAAGAGCTTGATACTAGAGTTGTTCCGATTCCGATGCTAGTATCGGAAATGACGCCGATACCAATTAAAATTCTGCCATCGGTATGGGCGAGTACTTCTACCCACTAATGTTGCACAGTGCACCGATACTTCAAAAGTATTGCGATACTCGGGAATTAAAAACCTCACGATACCAAAATTTATTACTTCCTGTCCCTCCCTGTGTTTTTTCATGTAGTGACCATACAGGGTTGGAACAGGAACATTGCACTGTGTTCTTTGCTCTTCCTGACGTGAAGGGTAATTAGTCTCATTCAGGTTGGGAAATGCAGACAGTAGACAAGTCTGCTGTGTGGAATCGTGGGAAGGCCATTGGTTGCTCAGATAAACGGAGAGATTTCCAATTTTGACCTTTTCTGGAACTTTGCATCTGTGTTTCGTTACATATCAAATATCAGGTACAGCATAGCTGCCTAATTACTGTTTACTCTCATTAGATGTGTACTCTGTGTTCCCTGCATCCTGTGTCTGGAGAGGTCTTTGCAAACAATGTGGTTGTTAATTTTTTGAACATCAAGTGCGCAAGTATCACCTCTGACGTTTGAGGAACAACAACAAAATGGTGACCAACCTCGTTAATGACTTGATCTCTACTGCAGTGGGAACATCAGTTGTGCCGAATTATAAGCTAGTCTGCTCTCTGATAGTCCCGGTTTCAGCCTGAGGATGATTGCGGATGTGAAGAGGAAGAGCCGAGCTCTTATCTGCAATCAGTGAACCCTGACCCCCTGTGAACGGGGACTGGACCTGGCCGTACAAGCTTGTACGCATGCATCCGGAATATACACTGGGTTGCTAGGATGCAAGACAAAGATTTTCTGGGTTCTAACAAGGGGCGGAGGTGCGTACCGGAGTCTCGGCAGTCATGTCTACGTGAATGGGTCCAACCCTTATCACCTCCTGACCTTCCCTTCTTTCACCAGCCCTTTCCTCTGCTCTGCTCTCATCCGGCACCGCAGGCTTCGGTTTCAGTGAGCTCTCTAGCACTTCCCATGGAGCAATTGAGGGAGTTTGTGTTCCTGATCCTGGTGTCCTCATTTATTTTGGAAACATTCACAAGTGTAGATGAACTCTTGAAGTGTTCGGCAAGGAACGCAATCTGTCACCAATCACCAATCTGACCTATTCCAGTGCTCGTCTGTTTGGGTGTTTACTTTAAAGCACTTAAATACATCAGCCAATCAGATACAAGGACCTGAACTAACTGTTGTATATGTATATATATATTATATATCTTTCACTTTTGATCAATTTAATGCATCCCTGTAGAATGAAACTGCGAAAACTGAGCAGAATTTTATTGGGGATTATCATGCTGACATGTAGTACTTCAGCATTCAGTGATCTTTGCACACTGCCACTTCCGTTGAATTGCCGATCACTCTCTGGCGAACTGAGGACAGACTACACTAGGTTTATTTAAATGGCATCCCTGGTAAATTAGGCTGATTTACTAAAGTGCCGGTGTCGTGCCGAAAATTGATGCACAGTGTGTTAAAGATGTATCGCCCATTCTCTTTACGAATGCAGTTGCTTTTATGTGGATCAAACAGACATAACGTGCAAATAAACATCACTCGCCCAGTACTTTTTACCTATTAAAATACCTGTAAAGGGCCAATACAACCATTATAATGCATGTATTTCACCTGCCAAAATGTGAATTAAAGCCTCTACTTATTAATTAAAAGGTTATTTCTGCCCTGAAATTAGTTGATAATATTCATGAGGGTTAAATCTGACTGATTATAACTCCCCTACTACTTTTTACTTATTAAAATACCTGTAAAGGGCCAATACAACCATTATAATGCAGTATTTCACCTGAACAAACAAACGCACGCTACCTTGTTTTATTGTAAAGTTTGGACTTTTATCCCGGCGAACCGCTTTAATCCACTTCTTCCTTATACTTAAATCAGTCGGGAATCCATGAAAACTTGCGTAGGGTTGGCGTTGTTGGTTACATTTACAAAGTGGAACAGAGCAGTGACATCTAGCCTTCGTTTCGGCCATTGTTGAACTGCGTCGGAAGTGGACATGCTCAAAGTTGAGACATCCCGCCCGGAATTGTCATTTCCGGCCAATCTGTAATTTTGTAAAATTTTAGAGAGTAATTTTACTCCTTAAAAATGTATGTAATTTCCACTACCATCATTTTCCATCACAGAATATTGAAACGCAAGACATGTTAAAGTTAAAGTGTGGTGGAAATGACAGTTCTCCTGTGATGGATGAATATACACTGTCAGAGGTCAAATTATAAGTGTTTTAAGAGTTCATTTTCTAAAAGTGCTCATAGTTCATTGTTTCGTGATGACAGGAGCTTGCACGGATGCCATTCCCAGCGCCCGTATTGTGGTGTTTGGGAGCAGGTACCCACTTGACCTAATCTCTGCTCTGTATGTCATGTGCAGATGTGCATCTGCCTCCACCGGCAGCCTCTCTGCTACTTGTTGTCTTTGCCACAGTGTGGAAATGCTGGCAGCTCAAGTATCGCACATAAAAGCCCTGGGTGGATCTGATATGGCTCTGCCACGGACACATATGCTACTGTTTGTGTTTCTTGGAAGCTCGATGCTTCTCTCTAATGGCTTTTGCAGTGTCCTCAGGGGGCCAAAACACTATATGCATGAATAGCTCCTCTCCTCAAACAGGAGTATGTGGTATATAATTTCATTTGACAGATTTAAAAAAAAAACTGTTATGTGGGTCGCAGGGGCGAGCGAGGTGATTGATGGCTTGTGTGCTTTTGCGCGGCATGCTGAAGTGTCTGTTTGCTTGTGTGTTTGTACATGGCACTTGATATAGAGCACAGATGTAATCGTACGAATACACGGAATGCACTATCATTTTTCACCTTGTCAGGGAGCAGATGTAAACTCAATTGAAATTAAGTAATGTTTGCAAACAGTTTACTTTCTCATGTGTTGTTCCAGAGAGCGCCACTCGATTGTCTCTACATGTTTAGATCTGTTTGTCAGATTCGCCTAAGGTATCATCATCATCCTCGTGCGCTCTGTTGCACAACTTCGATGTAGCGCTTCACAACACTAGTGGGGTGGAAAGCGACCAAGGGTTGTTAAACGCGTCACCTTACTGTGGCTCTCATTTAAATCATCTGTATGTGTCCGAGCTTAGATCGCGAATAAATCAGTTTTAAGTCCCCCTGGTCCGTGTTTACTCCTCTTCCTTATTAGATAAACAGATTAAAAGAGCTTGACTTGAACCATAACACAACCCTCTATCAGCCTTAACCAAAACAGAGAGAGATGCCCATGTAATCCTTTGGACCTGATTACAGAAATCATAAATGGATTTAGCAAATCCCCCCCCCCCCCCCAAAAAAAAATCTTTAAAAATCTTACTGACCTTTGAACTGTGAATGAATTATCTAATGTTACATAATATGTATTACATAATATCTTATTATATAATTTTTTTTAGTCGTATTTCTCAGTTAAGAATTGATGGCAAATGTTTCAGCAACACTTTAAAAGACTTTACAAAACTTTAAGGTTCAGTTCATTCAATTATGCATTAGGTATGAACTAGCAATTAAAAATACTGTATAATATTGTGTACAATATATGAATATTGGTTCATGTTAATTACTACATATGCATTTTTAACCCTTGAAGTTGTAAATTAATTTAAATTATTAATTATAAAAAGGTATTATAATCAAACATGAATTAACATTCGCATAGGTGGATTAATTCTGTAAAATATTGTTTATTCATGATGCAAGTCGGCATGAATTGGAAGTTGAGAGTTTCTTACTGTGACGTTTTTTTGTGTGAAATGGCTTCTCAAACAAGAAAAAAATGCCTTTTTCCGTCGGGAATTGAAAATTGATGGTTGTGATTTTGCTATTGCTGGATCTCAGTGAATCGTTCTTTTAATTAAAGATTACAAGGTCACATGAATTTTAAAAAATTAAATAATGATAAGCACAGATAAATCATTTATAATGAATACGGCAATATTACATTTAAAAAAATAACAATTGTCAATTTTAATTTCATTTTAACTAATAATTCGGATTTTTTGTAGATTTTAAGGAGTGTTATGAATCCGTTAAAATGGGTCTCCTCAAATGACAACCGAGAAATACCAAAAATATCTTTGCATGTTAATTGCATCTCAGATCTTATCAAAATATTGGCTTCTCCTCGTGTTTTTGCTGGCATGGTCTATCTGTATATAAAAAAGCATAACCTTTGCTGCTATATGACTGCAATCCTAAAATTAAACAATGAGCTGTGATGCTGTAATCGTTTTCTGGTTATAGAACTCAATTATCTCTCCACCACATTAATATGAAAGTGTTGAGTGAGATTGTTGAAAGTGAAAGCGTCGCAAGTTCGTGTTTGCATTAAATCCATCATTGTATCTATAAAACCAGACTGTTGTTTAATTATTCGAATTTGTGTCTTATTCATTCTCCCTCTCTTTCGTCAGGATTACCCAAAGAACAGGCATCCGGGCTGGAGTCGAGGTTCTGTTGCATATCACGCCGGTGAGTTGTAGGGGTTTCACAACTACTGATTTTTGCTAGTCGACTAGTTTTGCATAACAGTCGACAACTAGTCGACTAGTCGTTAAATGGTTTATTCTATGGGTGTGCGATATCACGAATAGTAAATATCTCCACGATCTGCTTTTGAAGAAATATTGTAGTATCGTGTTTGCATTCTGGCGCCTCTGTCTCAACTGTACAACGCGACGTAGCCTACACATCACACGTTAAGGAATAGGTATGGTACACTGCAATTCACAAAAGTTCATTATTTGCATAAGTCTTGCCGGTTAAACATTAATTCATGCGCTGTTCTAACGTGCGCTTTCCTGAGCGCGCGGCATACCCCCGACGCTCACAGGCGCCTGTCAAACAGCGCCTGAATACTGGACTAAGTTATCTTTCGAGTCTTATTATGCTAATACTGTTAAATACACACAATATTTACATAAACAGAAATGGCTATGTCTAAAGTGAAAGCAAACATTTGAGAGAAAATCTGGTGTAATATGCGTCTATAGGCTATTAAACACGTCGTCTAAAAGCGAAAGTAGTAATACTCGTATTTTCTGCACAATAAGGCGCAATTAAAAGCTTTTAATTTTCTCAATCCGGCCTTTTCTCAAGCCTTATAATCCGAGCGCATTATATATGGATCAATTGCTCGCGCTCATGTCCATCTTATGCCCGCTTTGTCATATGGCCAGTTCAACCTCGTGTAAATCAGGTAGGTTATGTGTGTCTCCCGCTCACGAGCGCTCACTCTTACACACACGAACAGACACACTGTCCCCGGCGTCACAGAATGTGCATAAAGCGCTCCCCGTTCACAGTAACCGGGTCGTCTCAATCAGCCAGCTGTTGCTGTCTGCGAGTCAGGTTGCGAATGTAAGTTACGTGCCCGCCCCAGCGCGCTCACGCGCCTCATCTCTGACGCCGCGCACTTGCTGCATTCCCTTTAGCATATCTAGTGGATGCATAACGCAAACCCAGTCAAACGTTTGAAAAATGTTCTAAAATAGGTCATTGAAGGTGCGCCTTATAGTGCTTATAGTATATAGTACTGCCGCTTGTACTTAAAGGGATAGTTCACAAAAAAATATATCTATAGCCTATATATGTCATCATTTTGTTTCCGACTAGTCGACTAAGGCCAACAGCGCCAACTAGTGGTTGTGACAGTCGACTAGTCGACTAGTCGACTAGTTGATGAAACCCCTAGTGAGTTGTTGGTCATTTTTGAAGATCTTGTCGTTACAACAGTCAGTATGTTTACATGCACAGTTATTTTCAAGCTGCAGTATTTTTTGTGTGTAGCCAAGCTAGTCTTCATCTGTCTAAATACATAACACAAGTCACATATGCACTATTGGTGTGTTCAAGACCTTGAAGTTTCGGATTTGTGAGTTAGGAAGTCGCAATTACGACATCAGATTCACTTGGTTTGAGGAAGATGGCAATTTAATTTAACCTTTTCTACAAAAAATTTAGCGTGATTTTTAACTCTACAAAATTATGAATAAAGAATGCGCATAAGCAGTGTTTTTAATTAATGTTTTACTAATTTATGAAAGTGCTGTAAATTTATCACAGCATCATAATTGTACAGTACTTTTGTATTTTTACATGAAACTTAGCTAGCTTAATTAATTCAAATAATTTCAACAAATTTACAATCAATACAGATGCTGCATCTGTTAGGGAACATGGGGACATGGCAGTTCCTTTCAGTTTTTTCTCCTCCGATTGGCCTAAAGCATTGTTCATAGTCATCCAGATAGAAATGTTGACTACAAACACAGGTTTTTCATATCAGTGTTATTTACGATAAGAATTTACTGCAAAGATTTACTACTCTTTGCAGCCTTTTGCCACTGCCTGTAACGTTCTGGATCCTTCGCTAAACGTTTAATCTTTGAATTCTTGCACCTGTGAACGATTGACACGATTATGAAAAAGTTTACTAGGCGATCTTTGACTATGGTAAGTGTATCCATAGCAGACTGGTGGAAGTGGCCTTGGACGGCAACATAACCAGTGCATTATGGGTGTTTGGAAGTTTTCCTTCCTATTTGGCCGGGTAGCACAGATTTTTTTTTAAATCTGCTTTTCTTAGGCAGCCAAGTTTACTTGAAAACCAATTTTCCCAGTGAAGTGCCCATTTAATGAAAGTTCCACTCTCCAAAGTTGTGGCGTTATAAATACAATCTGACTGTCACGACTTGAAGGCATCATAAGCCCAGGCAAATTGTAGCCTTATGAACATGAACACATGCTGGACACCCTGATCTTAAAATATGCGTGTTCACCAATGAATAAAAGTACAATTAGTAGAGCAGTTTTTTTCCAGGTGCTTGCACATTACATAATGTATTCAAACCATCTGAATGTCGCTATTATTGCTCATTTGCCAGATTATAATAACATTCTGTTGCCCGACATTGCATAAAAAAAATATATACATATATCTGTTTTAGTCTGAAATCTAAAATTAAAAAGTACTAAGAAGTCCCACATAAAGTTATTTTTATAAGTCCACACATCCAGATCCTGTTTACATAAAGTTTTTGTTTTCTCCTTTTGTTTTGTCATCTCTGGTTGTATTCCTATCACAGGTTACGCATGGATTACCCAGAATTCCTGCAGGTGGTGACTTTTTTTTTTTAAGCTTTATTATTTGGCTCCTCTTCTCTTTTCAAGCCTTACACATCTATGGGCACCATCTCTGCAGTGTGTGGAGGTCCTGGATGATGATAAGAGGAGTGTAGAGATGAGATCAGTGTGTTGATTAGAAGAAAATCCTCTTGAAAATGGCATGAGGATAAATAGCCCTATCTCACTCCACAGGTCCCATCTTTCAAAACAGCTCAAAGGAAGTCGATATCGGATAAGATTGCCTCTCAATGTAAAGATGGCAATCTTTATACTCAACCCCTTCATGCCTTCATGCCACTCCACATAACAGATTAGTCACTGAGTATCATCCTGAATGAAACTGTGCTTCTGTGGTGACTCAGAGCCTATTGTTTAAGGGTGAGGGATTTTGCCCATAAGCCAGATAAACAGTGACGGTTCAGATTTTTTGATATGTATATGTAATGTGGCAACGTTACTTCCTTTAGTGTGTTATTTGGGTTGTAGCTGCAACAATAGAAATGCTATAAAAATGCATTCTTTAATCTTTTTTGATAGACTGGACATTGATAGATCTGTTTTCCACTACACTACTACCAAACCAGTGTAAATCACTGCGCAATTTGACATTGACATACCGTTGGATATACTTAGTGAAGTTTTTGTATGTATATTTTTATTTATTTATTTATAAGAACCGATATTCAATGTTTAATTGTGCATTACCATTCCCTATATTTTTACACTTGCCACTAGGGATGTGCCCGAAGCCGAATACTGTGTTTGGGAAGTCTACGGACCCCCTAAAGGAACAGGGTGAAAGAAGAAAATATGAGATGGGAAGAAAAATTATATATAAATGCTTTTGCATTTTTTCGCAATTATTTAGTTTGGTTTATTGTATATAATTTGCGGGTATCAATGCACTCTTGCTTTTTTACTTTCACTTTCAAGATAAGATATTTCTCAATGACGCTCAGGATCTGCTGTACATTAAATCCTCTGACAGCGTCCTGTCAGTTATCTCTCCTTACTATCTTCACGTGATAAGTGAAATCTGATGTACTGTAATGTAACTGACTACCGTAGCAAGCCTAACCATGTCCCTTTAGGGCCTCCGAAGTGTGCGCTACTCATTTTCTGTGCCTTTCCGAATTCGCAATTAGGCTTAGAACATATTCCTATTTGCCATCTTCTAATGCTTACTTAATCTTTAATAACTTTAATAATATGAAAACGTTGTTAAACATAATTTTTAGCAAATTTCAAAATATATATCCAGTTTCATAGAACATTGGAATGTCATAATGCCCAATTCATTCAATTCATATAGTTTAAAATTTGTATGTGTGTGTGTGTGTGTGTGTGTGTGTGTATATATATATATATATATATATATATATGTGTGTGTGTGTGTGTGTGTGTGTGTGTATAGATATGCATACATTTATAGCAATGTGTGCTTTTTGACAAATTGTTAAATTAAAAAAATATATAATTTTTTTATATATACCGTATATATATTATACATTAATTTTATAGATCTTAAAATATAAATTCATATATGTTTGTGATAGATAGATGATAGATAGATAGATAGATAGATAGATAGATAGATAGATAGATAGATAGATAGATAGATAGATAGATATAGATAGATAGATATGTGTATTAATAAATGTATGTGTATTTTTCTTAGCATTAGTACCCTCTATTTATTGGTGGATCATAACATATCAATCCAAATTTTCATAACGGTGCATCCATAGTGATGGAAGTTTGTTTATTTCCTAGTGAATTCACATTAGGCCCTGTGTTCTTCTCGACTGTGAAGAATTCAGCCATATCATCACTCGCATCAGGGCGATGCAGTTTGTCAAGCCCTCTTGTCAGCTTTTGCGGAGCTGCATTTATGGGGCATATCTTTTCTGCGCCTCATTGCGGCACCCGCTGATGGAGGTCTGGCACTGCCACAGAAGCGGGTCAGATTAGGGGGGCATGACTCATTGTCCTGCCCTGATCTATAAGAGGCCCACATCTATGACTCATAATCCAGTTAGTCATCACGTAGAGATGTGTTACGGCCACTGATATGTCGCTCTGAGGGTCAGTGTCCTCACGCGCATCATAGCCGAGGCCAAACGGGGCTATTATAATCTCATTTGGATTGAGAAATGAAGTCGGAAGTCGTGTGATACGTTTTTTTTGTTGTTGTTTTTTTTAGTTTGGAACACGGATTTTAATGCCGCATACGATCCCCATTCCTGTTTTAAATCATCTGTTGACCATGCCAAGTGTGTCAAAATAGTTGGCAGAGTCACTTTACCCCAAATCACTGTTTTCAGGTTAGTTGAGTTCACGTTTGGTAATACAATAAGGGTACGTGACCTTTCCCCGTTTAGATTAATTAAAAATGTTGACGATACGAACAAGCAAATAGTTTTTCCTTTCTCAGCCCCCATGCTCATAAAACTGCCTTCTTGTTTGCGGAAGCAAGTCTACATTCCCGGTCTTTTCCAGAGAACAGCTCTGACATTCGAGGAAAGCCCTCTCTGCACTCCGGTGTAGCGTTTCCTGCCAGAGAGCCTGAAAGCTCAGGCTTGGTGAGAGCGCGTGTCCAAGCCCCGTCTATTTTTAGTCGCCTTCTTCTCCCACAGTGGTCGTGGTGTTTGCGGAGTGTGGTGTTGGGACCGAGGCCCACATGGGAATCATAATGATGCAGTGTTTTCAATCTCCCTCCGCGTGTTCAGATACGGATTGTTTAAACAGCATCCTGAGCTGGGAACGGGTCCCATGACAACTCTACAAATATTTACCAGCCACACACTGCAATAAGGTTTTTTTTTTTTTTTTGTCTGCAGGCTACCTTTCCGTGTTTTTCTTTCACTTGCTCTTGATTGTTGTTGTCTCTTTGTTTTGTTATCTTCTTATATAAGGAGAACTTTGACTAATCGTACAGAGGCATGAAAGCACATCTCCTTTCATCCTGTCAGTTTCTGGATGAAGAGTATAAGTCTTCTCTGGATCATTAAGAGCCAATGTGTGAGGAATGCAGCATTAGTGCTTGCGTATTCAGATTCCCACAGTGCTCTGATGCCAAGCACTAACTTTAGCATTGCTTCTTTATGTCCTAAAATTCATTCAGATGATGAGTTGTTACCCCTGTCATTGACTGTAAAAGAATCGCCCAAAAAAGAGGCTTTAAAAAGATAATCAGATGAGATACAGAAACAAATATTATGAAATATGAGCTCAAGCACTCATTTTCCCTACAGTGATACTGTCCAACAGCGACACCAGCAGATGATGTTTCTGGTGGAGGTGGGACTCAAATTAATAAAGCACCTTTGGACCTGTGACTCATGATTTTACCATGGATTTGTTGATTTAATGGTCTGAAAAGATTTATATTTATATGTATACACATGCATACTACTATTCATACACCGTTCAAATGTTTGAGGTCGGTATGATTTTTTTGTTCTTGAAAGAATTTCTTACGCTCACCAAAACAGTAACAACTGTATTATTGTGAAATATTATTACAATATACACTCTAAACAATGCTGGGTTGTTTGAACTCAAATTTGGGTAAAATATGGGCAAACCCAAATGTTCGGGTTAAAATTTGAACCCAACTTCAACTTTCACTCTCAATTGTACATTTTTAACCCAACATTTGGGTTTTTCATATTTGACCCAAATTTGGGTTGAAACAACCCAGCATTTTTTATAACTACTTTCTATTTGGATATATTTTAAAATCAAATTTATTCCTGTGATCAAAGCTGAATTTTCAGCATCATTACTTCAGTCTTCAGTGTCACATGATCCTTTAGAAATCATTCTGATATGCTGATTTGCTTGAAACATATCTTATTATTATCAGTTGAAAACAGTTTGCTGTGTAGTACTTTTGTGGAAACTATGAAATATTTGTCTCAGGATTCATTGAAAAATAAGAAGTTCAAAAGAACAGCATTTGTGTGACAAATAGAAATTTTGTGTAACATTATAAATGTCTAGTATGACTTAGGAACACTATGACCTTACTGAACACAAACTTTTGAACAGTAGTGTAAAGATCCACAATATAATATAAATATATAGTCCAGTTTCTGTACTTTAGAGTTTTTTTCTCCAAATTTCCCAGGATATTTCGAGTTGATTTGCATATCAGATTAGATGCAAGGTTATGGTTTACTAATGAAAGGAGCCATCTTATCTGCTCCGTAGATGATGGGAAGATCTTCCATGGAAGTGGAGTAGGTGACCAGTTTGGCCCTCGCTGTTTCGAAGGGGACATCATGGGCTGTGGAATTATGTTTCCTCGCGACTACGTGCTGGACTATGAAGGTGAGAATACACATGTGGTGCTCAATAAAGGAGATGAGAAGAAATTTTCTATTTTGCTCATACTACTGCAAATACATACTTTGATCCATTTAGCATGCTTGTCAAGACTGCACTCCAAGGTTTTTAGATGTCCATCCAGATCAACATTTTTCTCTGTTAGATGAAATTGACGACTGGGATGCTGCTGATGTACGACCAAAGCAGGGCCGTGTCGAAAACTTACTGTATTTGAATGATGAAGATGAGGAAGAGGGAGATGACCCAGAACAAGAACATGAGGGCCGGAAGGTTATGGTGAGTATTTTTATATATATTTTATACAGGGCTTGACATTAAAGGGCACCTATTATCCCACTTTTTACAAGATGTAATATTGGTCCCGGTTGTCCCCAGAATGTATTTGTGAAGTTTCAGCACAAAATACCCCACAGTTAATTTATTATAACCATTTGAAAATATCATTTTTGGGGCCTGTTTTAAAAAGAGCTGTTTTGGTGTGTACCACCTTAAATGCAAATGAGCTGCATATCCCCGCCCTGCCTTTGGATGAGGGCGTAACTTGCATACCTATGGCAGTCGGTCTAAGCAGAAAGCTGAGAGTGAGAGACCCGCTGTTTTGGATGTCATTCAGCCGTACATGTTTGAATCGGAATATATAAATAGTCTCTGATCAGACCCAGATGAAGAAGAGACTTAGGCAGAATAAACACAAATGAGAATGGACCAGGACGTCTCGGTATGGTTATTTGATACATTTATGTACTTATAGAGTTGTAATCGCGTCCCCTTTGAAATTATGGATGTGCAACACACACACAAACACTAACGTTGGCGCAATTTTTTGAAACTACATACACATACTGTGATAAAGTTTGCTACGTACAAGTTGCTCGTCTACTTGTGATCCGATCGACCAAAACACATCTTAATACCAGGTGTAAACAGGGCTAAGGTCTCCCAGTGGGACATTACACGATCAAGACGCTAGGTGAAAAATATTGCACTGCATGACTCTGTAATCTCCCAGTGTCTGGCCGTCATCTGCTCAGTTATCACCCCATTGTGGATGACCTCGCTGTCAAGCTCTCTCATGAGAGCCGTGTTTTGAGGGTACAGGAAATCCCAGATGTGGTCAAGATGAATTAGCTCGCAGATATCACTCGCCTGGAAAAGGCTTATTGGAAATAAAAGAACACTGTATACCCTCGGTGCTAAAAAAAACCCCAGATGTTTGCAAAGTGTTTTCTCATCTTGTGTCCCGAAGTAGTAGTAGAGTTTTGGCACTAGTGTGTACCAGGACTGTCTGATACCCTGTACCAATGGAAATGCTGACTCACTGTCTTCCCTCTCTAGCTGTGGAAATGCTGACTCACTGTCGCCCCTCTGTGCTCATCTAGGTGTTCTTCACCCGGAACGGCAAGATAATCGGCAGGAGGGAGGTGGTGGTCCCGGTCGGAGGGTTCTACCCCACTATCGGGATGCTCAGCAGCGGGGAAAAGGTGAAGGTGGACCTCCATCCACTCAGCGGATAATAAACCAGGAACTGTGCACATCAGCCAGACTCACCCACAAAAGAGCTAGAAACTTATGCTGAGATTTCTGTTATTTCTTTATCTCTGAAGGCACTTCCGAAAAGTTTAACCTGTCTAACACGTTCACTCCAGTGCATGTCTCACGGTAGAGCATATCTACAGCGTTCACCTCGGCTTAAAAACGGTTTACTGTGAAGCCACAAATGTCTAATATTAGGCCTCAAAAGAACTGTTGTACGAAGATACATTTAGTTTATTAAAAATGCATAGAAAATATTGAATTATATATTTTTAATGTACTTGTACATATGTAAATGTATGTATTGGCTGCTACACAAAACATTTATTTTGCTAAATCAATCATGAATATTAATAAACAGACGGACACCCTAGAGAAAGTTAAAGATTAGGCATGAGGGGGTTAATAATTATGAATTATTATAATATTGTCCAAACAACGTCACAGTTTTCCACAAGCACTCCCTCTCACAAATGACTTGTGAAGGTGATTGAAGCATATTATGGTTGTGATTTGTCTGAATGACATGTTTAATCAAGTGCCATTTTTTGCTGTAATTTCTGTCTAAAAATGAATGGTTGAGGGGGTTGTGCTTGCCTGTGAATGGCATGAATTAATTGCTAATTGCGATGTCATCTGATCTGAGGCAAGTTGTATTGTCTCCGGTTGTATATCTCACACCGCCATCAGGAAACGCCATACAGAAGCTCCAGACCAGAGATCGGCTACTTTTTGTTCATTCGTCTATGAATGCATCTTTACAAATCGATTGAAGTTCATTTCTTTAAATGTAGAATTTTACTTTAGTCTGTGGACGGTTTATCAGATATTTCAGGGCAGACGCCACTTTGGAGTCAGGTTTAAAACAATGGAGCTGTTTATTCAGGCATTGTCCACTGTAATGTGAACTGATCCGGTTCACAAATGCCACAAGCACTTTAAAGATGCCTCAACTTAAGCTGGTAGTCGGATGGGCGAGCGGCCATGATTCTGCCCATTTTGCACACCTCGCTGTTGCAATTATGCGCTTTCTCTTCTCTTCTGTTACATATCACTTATGGAACAAAAAGCTTTCACATTGCATACGTTGCCAAAATGTAATATGGGTATGGGTTTTCCTTCTTGTTTTATGTAAATGGCATCATTCAGTGATGTTAAACTTTTCTCTATATTGCCCTAATTTAGGTGCCTCGGTTGCATCCTACAGTTTACTAGCCAGGACATTGGTTATGTTTTCTTACTGCAGTGTATACTGTTTATAATTAAGTGATGAAAATGGAAAGTCGAGGTGTGCGCATTGCATTATGGGACACGTGTGCACGTTTTGCCATTTTAAGGGGTGTTGCCGGTGTTTTATGCATAAATGTTAATGCTATGCACAGTATACAATATACTGCAGAAATGGAAATAGTCTGCTATTCTGAATATAGCCATAATCATATTTGTCACATTGGTCTTCAAAGGGCATCGGTTTATTCATTTGAAAGAATATCAGTGGTTTATTATCCTGCATGGTTTATTCTGCAACATATATTCTGTGAGAATCATGAGGTTGTTAATGAAAAAAATGAATCTCTTTAGAGAGAGGAATGGAAATCACAGTCGACTAAAGCTCTTCCATTTAGTGGTGAAATGAATATTCCAGATCAGATCATTTAACATAAAGAATTGCTTGTGTTCCAGACATAAATTGACAGCGCAGGGAAGCCAAAACCAAATACCTCTATCAGTTAAGCTTATTCAAAAAGCCAAGTGGTTGTCCTCTCCAAGATCATCTGAATTCTTCGACTGGAATGTGGTTGCTTGGCGCATAAATGGGCGATGATCGTTTTGGGTTCTCACAGTCTTACTAAATGGAGATTTGCGTTGAAGATGTTATGTTGTTTTATTTGTAGCATGCACTCTTTTGCTAATGTGTATATAATAAAAGAGTTATTTCCACACAAACTGTACTTGGGTTGCAGTAAAATTCCTTTTTATACATTTTCACGAAGGCATCTGTCAAATAAACTTTAACCCATTTGATCCAACCAGATACATTTGATGTATTGTGTACATGTATATGCACACATATACATAGTTTTATTATCATGCAATTTTATGAGACCGATTTCACTGTAGTTTTAAACTAATTTCATTTGTTTCATTAAGCTATCTGGGGTGCAAATATACATATGCTCACTTTGCTGGGAAATTAATTGTGGGGTCATTGTAAGAAAAAAAGCTCACTTGCTCAAGATTTTGTAATAGTATATTTATTTATTTGAAAACAAAAGTATTTCAGGATATTTGGTCCCATGATAAAAAAAAGTGACGTAAAATAGTTAAATACAATTTTGCAATAAAACATTCAAAGGTTGCCAATTGAAATCAAATGTGGTACAGCCAGGGCATGTGTAACATATAAAGTACATCCAAGTGCATTACAGTAGTGATAAAACAAAATATGGGTGCTTCAACTAAACGTACTAAGATTGCCCTTAAAATCTAATTCAAACTCTTAAAGCAATATCAAATAGAAAACTTTTTTCAATTGTTTCGAAATGCTAATATTTTGAAATTGAACAGCATCAGAATAAAATATTCTAGTCTATTAAAATATAAAATATAGAAAAAGTACCAAACAAATTAAAATGTCATAAACCTAGGCTTGAAATGACCTAGCTCTAGTGTATCGTCTAGACTAGAGAAGCCTTGTGAATAATCTGACAACTACTTGGTTTTTAGTTCATTTACATTTATAGGCACATGTAAAAGCTGAAGACATGAAAAATTGCACAATAGACAGGCGGAGACCCACAACGCAGACTACATGAAAATATGCTGGTGCTTCTGGGAAATTAAAGTCCACGGACATCTAATCTATCGCTTGGTCACACCACATCATCCTCGTCCTCATCGTCGTAATGCCGGTTCCTCTTAATGAGGTCCTCCACAGATACATCAGCTTTATCTTCCTCAGCTTCCTCTCCATCCCAGAAGCCCACATCTTGTGAGGCCTTGTTCTCCTCGGGATTCAACCCAGACTCGCTCTCGGGCGACGATGGAGAACTGATCTCTGTTGAGCTGCACTTCAGAGAGGAAAGTTCTTCTTCCTGGACATCCACCTTCTCCTGTTCCATCCTTTCCTCATTGGTCCCACCCTGTTCCTCCTCTTCTGATTGGTTGTGTTCAGTCATGTCCTCGGAAGAGATCAGCGTGTCTGTGGTGGAAGAGACGGGTGACATTTCCTCAGAGGAGTCTGGCTTCTCATTTGAAGGAGATCTTTGGCATGTCTTGTTGGGTTGAGTGACCGGCGGAGAGCTGAAGATGGAAAACGGTTTGCTTCTCTCCTTGAGAGAGACGCTCCTGCGAAGCTTTGGAAAATCAGATTGGTCTGAGTTGCTTGATACAGAGTCGCCCTCTGGAGGCCATTTCGGGCGGATGGGTTTGATGCCGCTGCCGTCAGTGGCTCCAAACACATGGGTCGCGCTCTCGTCCCCTTCTGACTGTGGAGGCCAGGATATCTTGAGTCGCCCCGTCTCCAGTGGCTTCTCCACCCTCTCAGAGACGACCTGTTTTCGGGTCTCTAAAGTGGCCGCAAGCACATTAACCTTTACCAGTGGAGACTCCTCTACTGTAGGGCTGGGGGTTGTTTCTTGAGGTGAAAGCTTCACTTGCTCCTCGGCTTCTTCTCCTCCTCGAGTCTCCCAAAGCTCCTTATGTGGTCGGTGGCCGAAGCCCTCGTCGTAGTTGCCCTTGGCTTTAAACAGCTGGCAGTAGTGTGGCTTGCAGTAAACGTTGTTGTGCAAAGAAGCATAGTTCACCAAACTGTCCAAAAGAGGGCGGCAAAACAGAGTGAGAGATTAGAAACAAACCAAGCTGAGGATCAATCCTGTCCTAAATGCCACAAAAAAATTCCTAAATTAAACCATCTTAGTGCTGCAGGGATGACATATTTTTGTAGGCCAAAGCCAGGAAATGAGTTAGCATTTTAGCACTTCTGGTTCCATTTTAATGATGTGAATATTTTCAAGAAATAAAAATTCCAGATACAGCATATTCATTTTGCACCAGACAACACAACAAGATAACATTTAATATTAGTAACAATAATTTAAGCTACAAATAAGTTTGTATTGGCCGCCTCCAGTTTTCACTTTGTTTTGCCTCCAGCTAGCGCCGTGACGTAACTGTGACGTCGGCGCAAAAGGGGTAAAGGCGGAAAACAGACGGAACAAGAGTATTTAATTGCTCTAGTCTAGAAAGAAACGATGGTGTCATCATTAAGGAATTATACGGTCATTATAATTTAAATTAACCGACAGTAGTTTGTGTTTTATTTTTTATTCCTGACTGGAGAACAAACTTGTTTTGAGTCGCGCGCAGACTCAAAAAGTGGCGCGAGCAGCTCGCGGAAAGGTGAAGCCGTGTTTATGTGGACGACGACAATTACTGAATATGAAGCCTTCAAATGATGATAAACAGCTCATATCTCCATCTCGGTAAGTTACTGAACACATATAGGCCTTCTAGAAGTGTTTCTCTCGTAGTTACATGCGACTAAGTTGTGTCTAGTACGGTTCTATTCACACGTCACGGGTTTGCTGAAAACTGACGGTTGCGAGTTTGGTTGCAGAACACGATTATGTCGACTCAATTTCGTAAATAATTGTACGTCATGTATATTATAACTCTAACTTCATGTCAACGTATTAACCAATAAAATACATAAATGACAATTATTTTGATGTTATGAACGGATCCAGACAATTGCTTCAAATTATATACTATTTAGCTAGCATAGGCTAGCTAGCATGTTAATTAGTCTAATTAACTACACGGCAATAATCAGATATTCAACAAACAACTGTCTGCACAAAATGTCAATGCACAAGACAAGTGATTTTTTGGGCCTCCTTTGAAATCTTCATGCTTTAAGTTGTGCAAGTTACTCAATGTTAGCTATTTAATAAGAAAGTGTTTTATAACAACAGTTTTTACATGTTTATTATATAAAATGCTTGAAATTTTTATTTAATTCTGCATCTTAGCAACTAAAATGTTACTTATGTGCAGGAAAATTTGATACCATTTAAAAGAAGACTAAAATAAATTATGATGAAACCAACTAAATTTCTGCTGTAGAAAAAAAAAAAAAAAAACTCATGAGCTCCTCAAAAATTGACAAATCAGAGACCCAACAGTCTTGTGTACTGCTAGTCCACATCAAGTGTGGATCAGAGCCATGTCTCTTGCCCTCACCTGAGTTTAGTGTTGCAGTAGGCACAGCGGAAGCAGGTGTTGTGGAAAATCTGCTGATTCGCTACAAGTTTCTCTAGCGGGTACACAGTCTTAAGGCACGTCACACAGGTTTCACGGACAGGCAAACGAAACTTCTACAAGTGCACAAAAATGTTTTAGCCAAAATGACAACCCATATCTGTATTTTTCAATGACACTTCACAAAATGCAAAAACAAAGATAAAAATATAGGGTAAATAAAGAAATATATATTTATTTAATAACTGAATTCTCACCCTAACAGCTTTAGACTGGTTTTGTTCCGGACTTATAACAGAGCCTGTAAATGGAGAGACAGTGATTTTTGACAGTGCAACAAAATAACCTCTAGAGAGCGCTGTGATTCAAAGTAACTATAACTGTACAAACTGTGTCAAATACTTAAAATGATACTTCACCCCAAAAGGAAAATTCTGTCATTAATTACTCGTCCTCCTTATGTTGTTCCAAAGACTGTCATTCAATATCAAAAACATCTTCATTTGTGTTCCGAGATGAACAAAAGTCTTGCGTGTTTGGAACGACTTGAGGTTAATTAATGACAGAATTTTCATTTTTTGGGTAAAAAGTACAGATTTTTCACTCATGATTTGTACAGTGTTTCATTATGGGTGAGAGACCACAAGCAGAAACTCACCATTCTTGTCTGTAGTGGGACTTTTCATAGTGTTGGATTCAGAGCCCTGCAGATACAAAGAGTAGTAAGTTAAGTGCCAGTTTTTAACTACTAAAAAAACTGCATACAATCTGTTATTGTGTTAAAATGAAACTGCATTTAAACCCTTTTTGCTTCCATAATGTGGCATACCAAAGTGAAACCGGATATTAAAAATTAAAAGAATGAGAATTGATTTTGTCGACAGAAAAATTGATTGAATCATGAAAAGTGAGTGTAATGTAGTTTTCCACTGCATGGTACGGTACGGCTTTAAGTGGTGCCTGGTCTTTTAAGGTTCCAAGTGTACCGTACCGGTACTAAATGTGACGAGAAACACTGCAGATCACTGATTGGTCAGACAGAATCAGTACCAGCGTCATTGTATTTGCGACCAGTCGACATCGACACGAGCAACCAAACCCGCTAGATTTAAATAGCCAGTAACAGCCACCGCTGTTATCGATCAGTTTATAATCCCACCCACTTTAAAGCGGTACTAACTGCAGTGGAAAAGCAACCGAGCTAAAGCGAACCGAGCCATGCCGTGTCGAGCCGAGTCGTACCACGCAGTGGAAAAGCGAAGCGAGCCGAACCGTACTGAGCCATACCAGCTGTGGAAAAGCGCCGTAAGATTCAGGTTGAAAAATAAAAGGCAGGTACTCTGACCTACCATCAAACACTGTTGTTGTAGCTAAGTAGAAATTGTAACAAACAGCCTATGGTCTTCATTGGCTGCCCGTGAGCAAACTTACGTAGATGTTACGAAAGTGAGACTGGAATTACTAATCGATTCTTTATTTGTTGTGCAATTTGTAGACCTTGAAAAAGCATAGTAAGGGCACTTTAAAAATGTAAATCTATTGTGAATTCATTCGCAGGATTTCACGTTACAAAGAGCCGAACAGTTCTCACCACATCAGCACACACTGGTGGCACATTTTCCTTCTGCTTCCCACTGTGACTCCGGACTTCATTGTCTGCTGGTTCACTCTACCAGGAACACAAAAAGGTAAAAAGTTATCAGTGAGCATGTGCACCCTTAAAGGAACAGTTCACCCAAGAATTAACATTCTGTCATAATTTACACATCCCCAAGCCATTCCAAGCCCATGACTTGCTCCTCATGCAACATGACATTTTTTTAATAATGAGGGCTAAAGACTTCAAACTTCAGAAAAGTATGCAAAATTATTACTATTAAAATATAGAAATGGGTTGAAATTAACGTCATTAGTCTCTGATGATCATAACATCCTCCCCTCCCTCTCCCAAACCAGATCACCCCAATTCATATTCAGATGGGATTTGTGAACATTAATTGATTCATTCTTTTCAGTTGAATTTTTTTCATTTACATATTTGATGACCCTAATTGTATCACAGCTCCAAAAGAAGAACAAAGAACTTTCACAGAGATTTTTAGCGACTTACAGTAGTCCGACTCCGTATGACTTGTGTATGAAAAGCTTCAGTAACTGTTCATTTTAAATCGCATGAAAAATAGTTTTCCACTGAATTAAGCAATAGTCAAATTGGTTTGGAACTAAATCAGAGCGAGTAAATGACATCCGTTTCATGTTTTCGGCGATCTATGCCTTTAAACAAGAAACAAAGAGTGTCAGGTCAGCAGACATACTGCATCTGATGAAATCATAAGAAGTGACAGTAATTGAGGGAGTGTTTTATTGTGAAAGGGGTGGGGGTGAAACTCACGGTGGGGGAGGAAGGGAAATCGTGCTTAGTCACAGCTGCCTGGTACATGGCCATTCTGTCCCTGAGAGGGGTTGACTCCACCATTTTGACTCCAGAGTCAAGACTTTCTGTGAATTAAGAAAAAAAGAGTGAGTCAGTGGGGTCTCTGATAACTGATAGAATTTTTTAAAAAAGCATATGCGCAAGAGAAAATGAGAGCCACAAGGTCAAAGTGGGAATGGGAAACAGCAATTTCCACAGAACTGCCATCAGCACTTTCCAGAAAGCTCATTCTTACAGTGTTGCAAAAAGGAAGCAGGATGTTCAAGATGTGAAATCATTTAACTGAAAACATATTGCACAAACTATTAGACTGGCGTGTTTGTGTTTAGTGTTTGATTCTGTACCTTTGTCTCCTGGTTCCATGATCTCAGATCCACTGTCTCCCGTTTCCCCTGGTTCTCTGGACACCTAAACAGACAAAGAAACGTGTGTTAATGAGGAGTTAAGCACTGAGCAAAGAGCATTAAAAAGTCCTTAAAGTCAACATGAATGGCCATTTACCAACTATTTTACTACGAGGCATTTCAGAATAAAACAGGATATTCACACTGAGAAACAGAACTGATTTAATTCAGAGCCAATGAAGATTTGACCCCATTCCCCCTCTCTCGCCCCAACAATTTCCTGCTTCTCTATACCGTCTAATAAATAACTTTATTAAAATTAGGGATGCACTGATATGAAATTTTTTGCCAAATACGATTACTGATATTTTTTTATATTTGAAAGCTGATAAACAATATATTGGCCGATAAATTGAAATCCAAAGAGCCTGGTTACAAAAACAAAGGTCTTACCATAAAAAGCCATGTCCCAAACACACAATTATAATGTTCTAATTATCATTTTAGCCTCTGTAGCCTACAAAGACATGTTGCATTTAACTATATTTTCCTTTTTTTCCAAGCAATTTCAAGCAAACATCTGAAGGAAACAATCCATTATTTATCGTCTTTAATATATCGGTCGAATTAGGCCGATAATGATAACATTAAAGACAAAGATATATCTGCCGATACGGTGGCTGATACATTGTGCATCCCAAATTAAAATATAACATTAATTAAATATTTGAAATCATTATTCATCATAGCAAATTGTCTCATGGGTCCATCTTCAAACGTATATAAAAAATTATTAAACGTTGCTTACGAAAGTCAAAAAAATATTATTGATGTGTCATTATTTTATTGCCCGTCATTCCAAAAAAAATAATAAAAAATTGTATATCCCACTTCGTTATTCTGCCTTATTCTATCTATTGTTATTAAGTGTGGGATGAGTTAAGCTCCAGAGTTTAATACCCTGAGACGGGTAAGGGGTTTGTTCAAATCCCCCAACCCTAAGTATGAGCTAAAGTAATAATAATGATGCTTACTTTAGCAAACAGCACTAATTAGTAAGGTGAGAGACATTTAAAGCCATGACAGCAGTGTTTAAACATGTCTCCTGCCCTGGCTGATCAGTTCCTCCACTGGCATCAGTAATCCTCTAATGAGCTCTGAGAGAGCCGTGGACAGACACCAGCGTCTGGCTTTACTGCCACAACAACTCCAGCACAACAGCTCTCATGCAATTCAATACACCCGGTGAACAGACACATAAGAACAAACCAGTGGACAACACCACCGTTACTACACTAACATTAACCCAACAATTTAGTGCCCTGTTGATACAGCCGAATTGTATTATCTGTAATTAAACAAATAATAATTAAATAAAAAGCTGCTTTTGTCACAATGTCTGGATCATAAACTTTTCTATAAGATGACTACCAGGAAACATGTTAAAGTTCTTGCACCATTTTGCATTTTTAATTGTAATGGTATTACTTACTTCTCTGCTTTCGTTTCAGAAAATAGCAAAAACAAAAGATCTACTTTTCAAGAAGTGCCTAGCACATATTGTCCAACAACACTGCAATCAATCCCAGCACAAACACATCCTCCAAAAAGTCTGCTGTATCCATTGCCATTGTTCTCAGGAAGGCAGTACAACAGGAACTAAAACTGACATCATCCCACCGAACAGAGAGTTTCCACATGTAACAATATCAGTATCGATCTGAAAGCCATGCGTCTTACCGATTTAAAATCAGACAGGCAGCAACGGGCGGTCCGCTGTGATTCCTGGAGATTTACAGAGCCGAGTCTGTCTGACTAAAGGCCGGCAGTACTCTGAGAGCAGATTAAAGACGGTGAGCATGCCAGTGTTTTGCTGGCAGCCGCGGGAGAGATGGAGAGGGGGAGGGCTGAGAGGGTGGGGTGGGGTAGGCAGCTGGCTGAACCTCCAAATCCAAACAGGGCGCTGAAACCAGCCCACCCCCCAGTCATGGATTAGCCATCAGCGGCGGGGCTGTAAGGGGATCCAGCCGGCCAGGCATCAGTGCAGCGTCTCCAGGCTGGTGTGTGGACACCAGGGGAGTGCGAAATAAACACAGCACAAAAGGCAAAGGCAGCGAAGCCACAGGGGCATTAGCCCAGACAAAAGACCCTTTATTAATCCAAAACACACAAAAGATGGGAACATCTGAGACACGGCCTGCCAAAAATGAGGAGCGTCCTTTCCTTATGTTATCAGAGAATAAAATCTGTCACAAAAGATGAAATGTACAATATCTTTCAGGGATGCACGATATATCGGTCGATAAATGTTCATTTTTAATATTATCGGTCCGATAAGAGAATTTGCCCGATACTTTAAAGCCGATAAATAATGCACTATTTCCTTCAGCGGAGACATGTCTTTTAATAGTGAAACTTTTGTAATCAAGCACTCAAAAATGATATAAACATTTAGATTTATCAGCCGATATATCGGTTATCAGCTTTCAAATATAAAGAATTATCGGTTACTGATGTCGACCAAAGTTTTCATGCATCATGCATCACTAATATCCATCAAATTTATATATAATCTTTGTCTTCATAATTTTGTTTCAGTATGCTTTCATTTTATTTTATCCTTGAAATAATAATAATTAGTAGGATTAGCATTTTCATAATGACACAAAATTGCTAATAAATGTATAACAGACATAATATTACAGTCTGATTATTCATTCTGCCGCTTCTTTCTACAACTAATGACGTATCCCGGATGGCAAAACATTTACGAAGGTCTAGTGTCATGCGAAATGTGTCCTCCCTACAGACACTGCACATCATCACATCTGATCATATCTAGAACTTCTCTTTATTAACTGCTTTTTACAGTCAGTTCAACTCTCTAAGCACCCCAGATTCAATATCCACCAACATTTATAAAACAAATCTCTGCAGGAGATGTTTTTTTTTTAAAAATGCTGGAGGAGGTAGATGATGAGTTCACTTAATTTCAGTCTCTTTCTCTCTCCCTCATGACTATCCCCCAGGTTAAAGGAGAGAAGTTTGGCTTTGATGAGAGCAGAGAGCTCGAAGCCTGTAGCGATCATGTGGATGTTCATCTCATGACATCAGCCCCCCAGTGAGAACAGCAGACTTTACATGAGAGCGACCTCATCCCAGTCTAGTGATGGAAATGTCTTTTGAGAGGTAGAGGAGTTTGGGTTTAACCCAAACATGAACTATGTGGCTTTGCATGAGGGAAAAAATAATAAGTCAATTAATTTGAGAACTGCTGCAACCAGATCATTGAGTCTTTTAACACATTTATTTTCCATGAACTGGCTGATCGGACGAAACAATTCAATGAGTCACAAGCAGTGTTGGGTAATGCATTACTAGGTCATTAATTACTGTAATTTAATTAGGGATTACTCTTAATTTTACTGTAATTTAATTTACTTCTGATGTAATTGCATTAAATACTGTATCGGCTATAGAGAATCATTCTAAATAAACCATTTTAACATCTAATGTATGTTTTTAATGTAACCTTCTCCCTTTAAATACTTTGGTTAGTTCAAGAATAATTTATGACATTTATGTTATTTATTTGAATGCATTAAAAGGGCAGTTTCATGTCCATCTTGCGTTATTCAAATAGTTGATAGGATCTAGAAAGTAATTACTAATAAGTAATTCAACACTTTCTAGAGAGAGTAATTAGTACAGTAATCTGATTGCACTGTTGATAATTAGTAGCTAGTAATTAATTACTTTTTTAGAGTAACTTACCTAATCACAAGTTCTAATCACTGATTCATTCATTAAAAATCACAGCAGCTGAAAGTATAATGCTTTGGATTGGGGAAGTGAAAAGCCCCTAGTATGAGCAATAATGAAGTTTGTCTTTAGAGGAAGCATAACTATGGTGTGGATCAAAACATTGTTCATTGCATGCTGGGACGTTTTGAAGTTGAACCCCTGGTGAAAGTAAAATGCATTCAGTTTCAGTCTCTCTCAGTTTCCTCTCCTCCACCCACGCTCCTTAAGCTTACTTTTTTCCAGATAAAATGTTGGGAATGATTCTCTTTCCAGTCCGCGAAACAAGAGAAAACATTGTGTATGGTGAAGTCCCGGTTTATTTTAAACGCATAACCTTTGACTGTTCCAAAAAAGAATTTGATTAAATAAAAACAATTTCAGATGAAGATGAGGTGTGACTAAAAAGACACCACAAGAATGTTAATTTTATCTATAACCTCACAGACTAATATAGAGCAATGGTTCAGAGATTCAGAAGTTCAGAACAGTGAAGTACAATGGATCTTGTTTAAAAATAAGTTTTAAAAGAACTGGATTTTTACATTTTCTGACAGAAATGTCAGTGCTTATTGGCAATTTGGCAATGCTAGGGAGTTGTGGGTGTTGCTATGTGGTAGCTACCGTAATGTATTCTGACTCTTGTCTTGAGTGACATTTAGTTGCACTGGTATTGCCTACATCCTTAAGTCAAAAGAAGCCACTCTCATTTCTCTATGCACATTAAAAAATATATACTTGATCAAGAAGTTATGACAACATGTTTTAACATTGCTTTAACTCATCAAAATAAATTAAGAAAGTATTTGCTTTTATTAATTATTAATGCTTTTTTTATTCAAGTTATACAAGATTCAACTCATTATTTTAAATCAGTTTAGTGTAACTTAAGTTGCAATGACTTAAATGAAGTACAACCAACTTGAATGTTTAAGGCAGCAACTTTTTTTACAGTGATGTTCTATTCACTAGACCGTTTTTAGCCATTTTACGGTCTGTCAGGCAAGTCTAATCACTTAGAAAAGTACTGCAATATTACCGTTTACATGGTTTAATACTCAGAGATAGCTGTTTAAACAAAGCACTAACTCAAAGTAACATTTTGTACAAAGTTAGAGAGCACAAACTGACAATAGTTGAACCTGCAGGCTGTTTAGAAGAGCAGTGAACCTAATGAAACCCCAGAACCCAGAGAGAGAAGCACACTAGTGTCTTCATGACCACAGACCATGTGACTCACAGCATGACCAGTCTCATGAACATTTTGAAAACGAGCAGATATCCAGCAAGCAGAACAGACAGATACTGTCTTGATGACTGTGATTAATCAAACTCTCACATGCATACTGAATGCTTTAAGAGACATATGAAAAACAGAACTTCAATCTTTTACTATAAAAAAAAAATAGATCTAATAATTTGTAGTGCCAAGCATCCTTCCCAGTCCATCTACAGTCAAACCAAAATCTATTCAAACACCTTCAACAATACTCACATTGTCACTGTTTATTTGTTATAGTTTAGAAAATGGTAATCAAATATGACAAGAACTCGGTTATCAAATCAGTTGATATTTCACTGGTTTGGCCATCCTTCTGTTAGATAATACCAATTTAGATCAACAAATTACCAAGCTTAATTTTGTTCAGTCTATGGTGTAAAAAAAGATCGCATTAGCAATTAAAGGAAACATGGTCAGGTCAAAGTGTCTGAATAATTGTTGGTCCCAATTTTTATAAATTTTACTGTGAAGAATTTTTTGGTATAATATGTCACAGTTTACTTTATTTTGCTATACATAAATGAACTGTAGTGTCCTGCACCCACTAGTGAAAAAAAAATTATATATGATGTCTGAATAATTTTTGGAATATTTATGAATGTGCACTAAGCAAAAACATGCCGTTCAGAAGTTTAAGGTTGGAATGACTTTTGCTCAACAAGGCTGATGTGAAAAAAAATACAGTAAAAACAGGATCAATGTGAAAAATTATTAATTTTAAATAACTTTTCCATTTGAATATATTTTGACATTTAATATGTCGCTGTGGTTTCAAAGCTGAATTTTTAGCATCATTGCTCCAGTCTATAGTGTCACAAGATCCTTCAAGAAATATTTATCATTATTATTAATGTTGCAAACAGTTTTGCTACTTAATATTTTTCTAGAAACGGTGTACAGGATTCTTTGATGAATAGAAAGTTCAAAAGGACAGCATTTATTTGAAATAGAAATCTGCAACGTTATAAATATCGGTCAATTTTGATCAGTTTAATGCATCCCTGCGAAAATAAAAATATTATTTTTTTAAATAATAATACTGACCCAAAACTTTTGAACAGTATTGTCTATACAAAACCATCAGTTCATTAACATATGACCACAATCATTTACATATCAACACCTCCGTGTTTGCAAAGATTAGCCAACCATAACAGATGTCATTTACATAGAAGTCCTAAAACTACAGTAGTCAAAATGGGTTTTAATTCTGAGGGTCAGAAAACAGGTAAATCTGGTCATGAAAAACTAGATTTTCACTGTTTTGTTCCAAGAGCCCTCAATGAACCTTTTGTATAAGAGGAAACGATATGAAAAGTAGGAACAATCATGCAAAATGTGAAAATCATGGCCTTTTTGCAATTTAAATTTCTGCATACACAAAAAAAGACGAGTTGGTGAACGTGATTTCACCAAGTGCAACATGTTCCTGGATCAACATCTTTGTTGTTCCTGGAACAACATTTTAATCATCCAATCAGATTTGAGAGACAGGTTTACAGCTTATGTCAAGTATAGGCTTACAACCAGGTTTAGGTGCTTCTACATCAGTGTCATTCACCTTTTAGGGGTAAGTTATAGGTAGGATTAGCTTTAGGACAACATTTTTGGAAAGGAACAAAATATGTTGATCCGGGAACATGTCTAACTTGGTAAAATCACGGTGACCAAGAGGTGTCATCTACTAAACCAACAAAACACCTTAAGATAATATATAACATTTTAGATAACTAGTGGTACTTACATTGTTGTGAATGACCTCTCCTTTCTCAAACATCATCTTCAGGCTGTTGAGAGGCACAGTGGGAGTCTCCACATCTCTTGGCGTCCACTTCTCCATCGCCTGGTCACTGTCGCTCAACAGCTGGACGTCTGTGGATTCCAGTGGAGTGTCAACACTGGGATTTGAAGACTGCTGCTGATGGTTCTTCGTCTGTCGTGAGTACGTTTTGTGTTTTGGAGAGCCAAGCGTCTCGGCTTGTTGTTCCCAGATATCCTTTATGATAGTCAGATAGCCGTCGCGCTTGGAAGGAGTCGGTTTCTCCAGAGACTGTATTAAGACAAAGAGAATTTCAGAAGGGTGTTCACTCCTTGGGTTTCTCAACTTCTTATCTTTAACAAGACGAGACAATCAAGACAGTGGACTCTCACTGTATTGATCTATTCCTAAAATCTAAAACACATACAGATTTAGCCATTTCATTGTTGAGTTTTGAATAAAACATAGTTTTAAACTTAAATCCTGATTAAAAGTACTAATAAAAATATTCATGATTAAAATTACATTACTCACTGATCAAGTCTCTGAGGCCTTCAGAAAAGCAGTAAACAGAATGAAATGATTGAGTATCTTGTTATTAGTTGGTAGATTAGTAGTTGTTTGTTAGAAAAGGTTGACTACAAAAGCTTCAGAAACCTGGAAAATGGAAGGAGTGGCTCCCTCAGTCTGTTCTGGTGGAAATGAGGGGAAGAAAAAAAAAGCAGCACCAGATGCTAGTCTTTTGAAACTATCTGCATGTGGGAATTAGGCCAACCTCCTTTACAACGGCACAGGCAAACCAGGAAGAACATAAAAGAGGAAGCAGCGACAGGAAACGGGGAAAGGGAAAGTTTTTGAAGGACATGACATGCATAGTCACATGTCCAGGTTGTGTGAGACAATTAACATTTAAGCTTTTTATTTCAAAACTTTTTTTTTTTAATAAAAGTTAATCGTTGATGAAATATTAACTGACAACAACATATTATAAAATTAGTGTTAAAGTATTTCAAATTCTAAACACAGGTATAAATTACTTTTAAAACAAGTCATTGTTAGCTTAATTTCAGAATACTAATGACTGGAAATGAGTATGTGATGCTAACTTAATTTTTTTATGTAGTGCACACTGGCACAATATGACAATGTACACTACACTATTATATTTAACAGTCATTTGTCAACATATTCATGGGTATGCATTTATCACTTTTCATGCGTAAATGTCAACTACACAAAATACAAAATCAAGAAAGTTTCAATAAAAATTAAGTTTCTAGAAAAATAAAATAAAAAACTATCAGCTAGGGATTTGAAAGAAAAAAAAGCCATCTGTCAAGCCCTAAATATAATCAATATTTATTGTGTGCTCACATACTAAAGCATGCTATTTTGACCCTAGTTTTGACCCTGCATGCTACAACAGCTCAAATACATCTGGCTCAAATTCCAGGCTTGACACAAACACTCTGAACTGTCTGCCAAAACATAATGCAAGACCCTCACAATGGGGCAGAAATCAAAGCCTTTCATTGAATACGTTTAATAAAACTACAATGCAAAAACTAAACATGAACCAGCTGTCTTTCAAATCCAGTCAGATATCTCATACCTACATCCTTCATCCAGCACATCGTCATTTCTGCAACTCCATCCTGACAAACACTGAAG